TTGGTCACCGTGCCTGTAGGGTATACAACTATTACTTACTAGCCTGTTTGACCTTTTTTGGGTGCAGTCCTGTCACTACAATATGTAGAGTTGAACTCGAGTTGAACCTTGGTGTGAAAGTTGTCACCTGCTGGCGCGGTGACCAGGTGATTTGGCCACCCAGGAGCACGTGACCGCTTGTTCAACCATGTTCGATTGGGAATAAAGGAGGAACGCTGCATCGCAGCCTTTTCGGACCAAAACCAGTCGACTCAGCGTCCAAAAGACTACAACATATGGGCCAATCGCGGTCATCCGTGTATATAAGAACGAAATGGCGCTTTTAGTGAGATTTTGCATACAAATCCCCATCTAGTAGGGCGCAGTCACCCAGTTTCGGTGGAAGTGCGCGAGTTCGATTGGGATTCAAGTAGGAAGGGAGCGTCGCAGCTTGCCGCAGGTCAGAGCTCTTCTCTCCTTGACCTTGTTCTTTGTAACCAACCATTCCTCATCCACAACCTCACCACACTCCCCCCTGTTTCTGATCACTGTCCTGTGGTATTTGATCTCGCAATACAGACTCGTTCCCAGCAACCAGTGCACTCTGATTTGCTCGTGAACAACTATGCAGCCACAGACTGGCCCGCACTTAATAACCACCTTTGGAGCCTCCCTCTTCTCGCTGCTGTACAAGAAGCCAGTAGTACAGATGAAGCATGGGTCTCCTGGCGAACACTAGTTGACACAGCCATATTATCTTTTGTTCCGAAGGTTCGAAAACGAACAAATCGTTATGGAAAGCCTTGGTTCACCTCTGTGCACCATCGCCTCCGTCAACGTCGAGATCGACTATTTGCTGCAGCAAAACGTGTCAATACCCCTGAGTGCTGGGCTGCTTATCGCATTTCAAGGAACTGCCTCGTCGCTGCCATCCGTAAAGCTAAACGTCACTTCTACGACCAGATGTCAGAAGGCCTTCATGCAGATCGAGGATCTTATGACTGGTGGAAGAGAGTCAAGAAAATGTGCCACATCAATTGTCCTCACACCGCTATACCTGATATACAAGGAGTCGATACCTTAGCGGTTACCGACCCTGAGAAAGCGAACATCTTCTGTCAACAGTTCGCCAAGAATAGTCAAGCTACACCGTCGTCGGATGCAGATCATCGTGATCTCGCCATGCCTTCTTCTTCGGAAACATTTGCCATCCGCCCTCTGTCTATCGTGGAAGTATTCAAGGCACTGTCGACCCTAAGTGTGCGAAAGTCTACAGCTGGCAGTCTTCCTAACAGGATCCTACGAGAGACAGCAGAAGTGCTCGCCCAATCCCTCACTGCTCTCTTTAACCGCTGCACCACTTACCGATCCCAACCCCTTGAGTGGAAAGTTGCAATCGTTACCCCAATTTACAAGGGTAAGGGAAGTCGCAATGACCCTGCTAACTACCGGCCGATATCTCTGCTGAATGGTGTGGCAAAATGCTACGAAGCGTTAATCAGCCGCCAGGTGTACGCGTTTGTAGCGAAACACAAACTACTGTCGCCGAAACAGTTCGGGTTTCGCCACCACCGAAGCACGGTTGACCAACTTGTGCATATCACATCAACTGTCAGCTCTGCATTTGATAACCGGGCCCAGTGTGATGCCGTCTTTCTCGATTTCTCGAAGGCATTTGATCGTACCAGCCATCGCCTCCTAGCCTCATGTCTGTCCGGTTGGTGTGCACCTGACTCATTCGCGTGGCTGATGGACTTCCTGGAAGGCCGATCGATGTCTGTGCGGGTCGGAACCTCCTTATCAACCCATATGTCGCTCACCGCTGGTGTGCCACAAGGCTCCCACCTAGGCCCTCTATTATCCTCAAACATCTGGGAGTTCGCTTCAGTGCAGACCTAAACTTCCGTCAACACTACCTTGACATCAGTCGCAAATTCAAGCAGAGAGTAAGCCTACTTTGTCACATGGCACATCGTCTTACACCGCAGGCCATGATGCTCCTCTACAAGTGCTATGTTAGACCTGTGATTGAGTATAGCGTCGTAGTGTGGTCATTTCGTCTTCGTTCAAGCGACTTGAGTGAGCTGGATAGAGTCCAGGCCAGGTTTGCAAGATCCTACCTTAGGAAACGCAAAATCCAAATCGACTTTAATACACCCAAGCAGGATCTTAATAAAAAAGCTAACATTGAATCCCTTCTTTACCGCAGGCAGTTTTTAAGCTTGGTTACCATGCACAAATTTATTTTCAAGTATCGACGTTGCCTAGCTTCATTCCATTTCAATATCACGCAGAGTGCGAGACGCCCTAACAAAATTATTCTCCCTAAAGCAAAGACCACATCAAAATCGTTGTTTCTCTTCCAAACCTCCCTCTTATGGAACTGCCTCCCACCAAGACTAACTGCAGAACCATCCATTATTGTTTTCAAGAATGAGCTTCGCAAACTCACTTGCAAACATAGTGCTTTGCTCTCCGGTATGCCTACGCCATGTACATAACCCCCCCCCCCCCCGTGTGCTCCCCAACGCATTCCCGCTGCACAACTTTTCACTACATGTACTTTCACTTTAGCTCATACGTGTACATGTACATCCTTCAAAGCGGTGAACCCCTTGATAGGCGACAAGCCTCTGGGTCATCCTAATAAAGATATTATTATTATTATTATTCAACCTTTCTATCAACTCCCTTCCCAGCATTCCCCAATCCAGCGATCTGACTCTGTTTGCGGATGATTCCAACATGGTCTGCGTTTCTCCGCCTACTGTCGTACCCGCCGCGCACACTGCCTCCCTGCAACTAGACCTTGATAGATGTGTGAACTGGTCCCATAAAGCTGAAGCAGTTTTCAATGCTAACAAATGTGTCCATGTTCCCTTTTGCAGACCTAAATCAAACCCACCTGATCCCAGGACCGTCACCATGGCCGGTACGTTACTGACCCAGCCCTCTTCCCACCGCCATCTGGGCATCATCCTCACTCCTTCACTCAATCTGTCCCCCCATATTCAACACATTACCAGCAAATTTCGAGGTCGGGTTTTTCTTTTAAACCACATGTCCAACTTCCTTCCTTTTCCTGCTGTGAATCTTTTGTATAAATGTTATGTTCGTCCCCTCCTTGAATATGCTGTTCCCGTTTGGATGTTTTCCGTTTCAGCCACCATGTCCACAACCCTTGATAAACTGCAGGCTACTGCTGCTAGAGCATACTTAAATAGTAAACTCAAGCGTCGGCCTGACTGGACGACTTCCAAAGAAGACCTCAATGTTCTGTCCTCTTGGGAATCGTTAGCATGGCGACGGCAGATTCTTGGCCTTGTCTATTTCCACCATGTATTCTCCCAATACCCCTCCTTGTTGTCTCACTTCCAGCTACCCTCTTCCCAAAGCAGTCGTCACCCTTCATCCATAATTCTTCCTAAAGCTGGCACCTTCTTTCGTAAATCAACCCTTTTTTCTTTGAGTGTTGCCTGGAATAAACTTCCTGAAGATATTCGTTCACTCTCTACAACAGCGAAATTTAGTATTGCTGTTCGTCGGTATCATTCGCAATCTATGTTTTCTTTGAAAGGTATTCCTGACTTTTGTGTCTAGGCTAACCACATCTATGATAGTTTCAATAGTTTGTGTATATGTCAGTTATAGTAGTCCGCAATGCTGCTTTTCTAATTCTCATTATGATTAGCATGCAATGTACTACCCGAAGTACTGAATTTACTTCTTCTGCACTCTATATTCTAATGTATCTTCTACCTCTTCTCCCTTACGAACATACTTTCTCATTTTCCATACTTATATAGGAGACTCCCTTCGATAGGCATCTATTTGCCTCTGGAGGATCCGTGAAATAAAAATCAATCAATCAAAATCAAAGCTTCCTCGGACCAAGACCATTCGACTCAGCACCCAGAAGACTACAACTGGTGAAGTGCAATTAGTGATTTTACTTTTAATAGGGTATACTTCCCCCATTTTCGGTTCATGATTATCACGCGGCCGCGGGACGGTTACCCTCCAGCACGCGGTAGCGTGCACTTACTAGTCTTTCCATGCTCGAGCGCTCCTATGCTATGATATGCGGTGCTACCCCACCACTGCACCAGTGCATGTGCCTCCATGATCCACACTACCCCCCCCCCCCCCCCCACACACACAGGGTCCACACCAAGGCAAAGGCAAAGCCTGGCACGGGCACTGGCTGTCAACTCCCACACTGCCACAGTCAGTCAGTGCAGTCAGAGTCTTCGCTAGCTAGCTGCATATATGCGCATGCAATGCGCAACCATAATTCATGCTAAGTCGTGATTGATTGATTTTATTTGTACAAAAAAGTCACACGATCACGCCAAGATAATGTGTGGGGTGACATGACAGCGTGACTGATTTTCGCTCGATCTGTACAGATAAAGAGGACGTTGGGTCTGTTCAGCTGTACAGACCCAACGTCCTCTTTATCTTTTATTTTTATCCGTACACAGACTCTGACAGCGCATGCATGCAGCGCCTACACTGGCTACAGCTCAGATCCAGGGACGCCCAGCTCAGCAGTACAAAAACACCGGTCCCCGGAGGCGGAGATCGCTTTTGTACATTATGTATTGCGCCTGGTCATGTTTCTGTGATTTACGGCACAGATACTGAGATAGCTAGCTAGCTAGCTCAGCCTACAATGGCTACATCATGCAGCTGTACCATGGTAGACGGCCACATGAACATCCCTATTTTTTGTAACCGACGTCCGTTGTATGAACCATGCATGCTTACACAGACTACAGTCTACAGTCTAGACTAGTCTAATAATACTACAATCATGTAGATCTACATGATCCATGATCTACACTACAGTCAGTAGGGCTACCCACAGCCTGTATGCATTCAGCCTTGCTGGTTTTGTGCCAGTACTGCAGTAGCCAAGTACAGTGCCAAGGCTAGCTGCACTGGACTGCATACATGCAGTCTGCACAGTCAGTACAGTCGCACAGCCGGTGACCTTGCGACTTGCGTGATCCGCTTGAGCCAAGCCAGTTGCAAAGCGGTACAGGAATTTTTTTGTGAAATTGTGTCGTGGTGTACTCGGCTCGTTGCTGCCGCCAAGAGAGAGAGAGGGGGAAAGAAGAAGAGGACGAGTTGCTACTGGACCCGAGCATCTCGCGCGCTTCTCTTTCTGCGGCGGTGACGGTGCTGGCGATTTGATCACACGTGAGGCGTAGCTTTTCGATTCTGCTCACTTAGATGTTGCCTTACGCGCATTGTGCGTATGCGTGTGCACACAGACAGTAGAAAGAGAGAGTTTGTCGTCCTGTGTGAGGAATCGCCGAATAGTTTGAGTGGATTTGGTGCGGCATCAGCGCGCCTTTCCCATGGTAGCAAGCACTGTTTGACCCGTTCTGGACACTGCTAACGTGTAGCACATCTTTACAGTTCGCTTCTACCAGCAATCGTGTAGCGATGGGTTGCTGTGGCTCAAAATCGGGCAGTGCTGATAATGGCGTCAGTAAACAGCCCTACACGGGCAATACGGCCGCCACCGACATTGGCAATGGAACGGACGTGCGGACCAGCATACCGCAGCAACCAGTAACGGGCACAATGCACCAGGCGCCTGAGCAGCCTCAGCAGGCCTCTAGTGGCGGGATGATGCCTGGTGCCAAGTTGTTCGTTGCGAAATACGACTACGACGCGAGAACCGAAGAGGATCTGTCTTTCAAGAAAGGAGAGATTTTGGAGATTATTGATGATACTTGTGGAGATTGGTGGCGTGCACGATCGCGCACATCACAGCAAGAGGGTTATGTTCCAAACAACTTCGTGGCCGAGGTCAAAAGTCTTGACGCACATGAGTAAGATATTGTGTCTGTTTCCCCTTTCCCCCGTTGCCCCTGTGATGGATAGAAGAATAGGAGAATTGTTAGCGAATGTAAAACGTAGATCTACTGCGTTTATTCTCGCGCCTACGCGTTGCTCCGTGTATCTTGGGACAATGGGTGGTGTCTTACAAGAATGAATGTTTTTTGGTAGGTTGTCGATGGTCCTGATGATCATTTTCATGCGCGATTTGTCCCAGAGAGATGATTGTCTTTCTTCATTGTAAATTTACCTCGTAGTTTATGCTGGTGTTGAACCAACAGTTACGGGGTAGTGTCCTCCTCTCTAGTCGGGACGGGGCATGGCCTGCGAAATCACTGCCAGTATCCGATTCGCACTGCGCCTGCTACCGCTGCAGATGTAGATGCGTATGCTACAAGAGTTCACACGTTCCCTTGGCGATCGAATTGCTCTTCCTTCCGTCTCATATGTGTGGCCGTAGCGATGCAGCTCAGCGCAGCTGCATGCGATCATGGCGATTTATTCGACAGCAACTTTTGCTGCTTCATCCATTTACACGTACCCTTCTTAGGGTTTTAGAGGGAGATCTTCCAAATCTCCAAAGATGCCTCACAAAGTGTTGTATCCTCTTACACCATTATTAATTTTTGTGATTAGATAGCGTTTTTCTTGCACCTTTCCAGGTCGATGGAGATGCACTACTGTCAGGCTAGCGAACGATGAGACGATCACTTGTTTGGGAAACTCGGTGCAGGGGTGTTGGTGTTGGTAGTACAAGCAGGCTGCTCTTGTTTCTATGCTGTAGTCGATCTACTGCGCTGCAGATAATCATTGGAACATTAGTACTAGTGCCGTGGAGGTGGAGGTTGAGGAAGTGCGTCTGTTGCTGCAGCTAGTACTTGTGTTGGCCGCTCGGCTTGTGTCACGTTTTTGTCCGTCGGAACACCACACTCGGGTACGAGCGTAGCGTAGCAAGGAAGAGGCCAAAACCTTGTGTAGTTGTGAGCAGCCACCAGTGCTACATACTACCATAGCGCCATCACTGGCACCAGCTGCAGCTTCCTAGTAGTATGATACAGTATCGTTATCAGTCATCACCGAATCTCTTTGGGCAGATTGGGAGAACTGAGTGCGACTGACGGTGTTCGGTGGCCTCTGCTAGCTCTGGGCGCCCTTTCCGCAATGAACGGGACTGAAATCTCGCTCTCGTTTTCGTGGTCGATTCGTTGCTCTTCAACGGGTTCAGAGTTCTGTGTCACCGACCGTGTCCCCGCTGACATTGTAGTGTAGTCGTGAAGTTCTTGGAATGTTGTGCACAATATGTGCGTTCCAGTAGCGGAGTGATAAGCCTTTCGGTATTCTTTTGACGTACTAGTAACGTTCGCGTGATTCATATTATTTACTGCTAAAAGTCGCGACTATTTTAGAAGTACATAGTTCCGTCTCAAACGGATGTGCTCTCCGCTGTAAATAGGCTCTGCCATGCTGATACCTGCACACGTGTGTCATAAAAATGTTTGATACATTGTAGACTGTAGTTTCAGGAACACTGAGGAGTGTTCTGTTCTGTAGCGTTCTGAGATCAGGACTCAGTCAGTGAGAGACTGCCAGAGCGAGAAGAGGTCCAGGTCATTGCTACTGTCTGTGCTGTAGCATGATTTTACTCCGTGGCGATTGGTGTAGTTCACAGTCACACTGTGTACTCCTGACAGTAACTAATTATGTTGTAATAGTGATAAAATTTAATGCACTTTCGCGTCCAGGTCAGCTGAGGTCACGACCCACACTATCAGTAACTAAAGTTACTAAACACTCCATGAAAGATCATATCCTTGCCCGCAGCACTGGCATGGCAGTGAACTGATGTACAGTGTTGCACAGTCAGTACTAGTAGTAATGTTTTGGTGTTCTCCCACTCTGCGCTTGGTTCAGTCATAATGTGAATTTGAGTTGGGAAGGGCAGAGCAAAGTAGCCACTTGTGCGTTGTGGACTTGCAACCTAAACTGATGGTGCCGGACCCCTACCCTGGTACGGCCAGACATAATCAGAACTGCCAATCCCATGCAATGATGATGAATCAACCCACTCACATAGCTAATAGTACTACTGTAGTCACTAGTACTGAGCACTAGTGACTACCATGACTACTGTACTGACTTACACTGTACGTAAATGTATTGATTGTTTTGGGCTATTTTTGCATTCTGCCATCATGGTTGGAATGTGTTTGATAGCGGGGAAAGTTAGTTGTCTCTCCGACTTGGACGTGCAGATATTAGCTGCTCCGTATGGGGGAACCCTACGACTGATTGTAAAGACATGGAAATTCACTTTACTGCTTGTGCGTAAAAATGGATGATGGTAGAGAAGGTGACAAGCACTCTTTATGGGCATGAGCTCACAAATCTTCTAATTCAGGTGGCAACACGTCAAGATACTACGGTATATGTTTCAGAATTTGTTTCCCTGAGATCACGGCTGCTTTCTGTTGAGCAGCAGATGTATAAAAAAAGTAAAGTTTGCACGTCCGCGTTACCACCGGCTATACAATTGTGTTGAGAAACGCAACCAGCTTAGGAAGTTTCGCAGATGTATAAGACGGAAGTATTTCACTCTAGTGCACCCAGATCAATCATTCTGTGAGTGAGGTAGTGCACGTGTGTGGTGTGGACTGCCGTACCTTGTGTAGCTGGACATTGTGCTGTTGTTGTTTTTCGCCCCACGCACATGCTCGCCTGGCACGTACACGTATGCTGCACATGTCTTAACCTCTCTACATGACGTGCTGAGTGAACACATAGCAGTATGTGTGGTGTTGTCCGGCCGGGCTCGTGGCTGGCGTGATTACTAATTAGAGCATGGTATTAGCGGGTCTGTCACTATTTCTGTGTTGAAATTGGCACGATAAAATATAGAGACTGCCCCCTGAGCTTGCCCGAGGGTGACAGTGAGGTCTCCTACCCGTTAGTAATTGACTGTATTGTAAAACATCAGGTGTGCAAGAGTAACTTTGCTGTACGTATTGTGGACGCGTTTATTGCACCGCCAACAATGCAGGGGGTTCAGCCTGGAGCTGGATAACGTGCGAGTGTGTACCTTGTACATACTCGGACACGGATATGTGACTGTACTTGCCATTTGTCAATGATTGGCTATAAATGCTCTTTCTCGAACAATAGTGCAAGAACTCCAAAACGTGTGAGGATTCAAGTTTAAAATGCAGTGCCCAACTTACGATCAATGTAAGTTCGAATGCAAGCAGGTGATCGAAATTTTATTAAGAGGTTTTGTTGGTGTTTTATGTCTTTTCCTCGTCTATCTGTTTCAGTTGGTTCTTTGGTCCAGTGCGGAGAATTGATACCGAGAAGATGCTGCTATTGCCCATCAACGAGCATGGTGCGTTCTTGATTCGTGAAAGTGAGTCTAAGCCTGGAGACTTCTCACTATCAGTCCGAGATGGAGACACTGTGAAGGTATGCAATTTCTCTTTTGACCAGTCCCGATTAGTAGTCGGGCTTCCTTGGAACGCACATGGATGTCTTGAGAGAGTTTCAGCTGTATTTGGGGGCTGGATGATGTTACTCATAGGCACTTATGGCAAGTAATATCGAAACATATGCTTTCTCTGTCCGGGTCAACGGGGGAAGGGGGGGCACTGAGGGCGTAGAAACGTTGAGCAGCACATTCGACCAGCTATTTGAAGTAGTGGTGTGCACGGGTAGTCGGGTACCCGTGCTACCCGTGAGGACCTCGGGTAGACGGGTACTGAATCGTACCCGAAAACCCGAAGTCACAGATGACATGTAGAAAGAGAGAGAGAGAGAGAGAGAGAGAGAGAGAGAGAGAGAGAGAGAGAGAGAGAGAGAGAGAGAGAGAGAGAGAGAGAGAGAGAGAGGTCTACAGTGCACGTGTACACATAACTCACGCAGTGTGTAAGGGAAGGGGCCGGGGTGCATTGTGGTCTTACCATGGAAACATTACCCGATCGGGTACCCGTGCTGCCCGTGGAAAACTACCTGGACCCGAAACCCGAAGAAAATGCTACCCGACTCAGCCCTAATTTGAAGTAAACATCCTATACCATAAATAAGTATGTGCTTACTTTCAAATTTAGTGGTCACACCCGTACGAACTTTCAAACGGGGTACTAACTTTCCGGCACGAACTAGCTTTCGGACCTGACTTGCGTGTAATGGAGAAGTGATATTTCTCCTGTTCATGCCATAGCATGCACATGTCCATGGACACGCTACGTGTTGCATGTGTGAACCGCATCGATACTTGATTACGGACGTTTACAGTTGTAGCATATTGCGGCACCACCGCGCTCAAGAGGCAAGACACCTCTCAATGCTCAAATCCAGCGACCAATAGCTTGAAACTTGAAGAACACAACTCAGAAATATCTACGGGCATGGTATTATGCTGATCATTGCCGAAGCTAATGCCATTATACAACCATGGGACAGGTCATAGGGCTGGACGCAGAGAGCCCCCCCCCCCCCACTACTCTGATTGAGTGCCAACCCCCTGTGAAAATGTGGCGCTCCCCCCCCCCCCCCCCCACACACACACACACTAACAGAGGGGTCATAAAGGCATACTTGTCTGGGGTGAAGTCGGGGATTCGCTCCCGTACGTTGCATTTAGTACAGTGTATGGCTGTACACTTTTGGAAAATGGGTTACGTTGTAACTGTTTCCCCTGCCCCCCCCCCCCAACCATCTATTTTGACCTGGCTAGAACCATGATTATGATTACCTGCTAGCCACTAGCTTTGGTCATGGCTGGTGCCGGGCGGACTAGTGCTTGCGAATACATGTTATTGTATGAGTTTGAGAAATTAGCATGACATGGCGTGTGATGTCATTCATGAACAGGCACTGTGTCCAGAAACAGCATAGTAAAGGACCTTTTCCAACGTATGCCGTGTGCGATTGTCCTTCCTGCAAGACCAGTGTCCTGCAAGACCAGTGTCCTGCAAGCTACAATTTAAATTATAAATACATGTACCCTGGAGCAGTTGCAACATGTGGAAACAGTTGGCATCCAGCCGAAATGGACAGCCGGGCCAGGAGTGCAGGGCACGGATGTGTCCTCGACTGCACAGATGCGGTGTCCTCGACTTCCTTTTCCAGCCAGTTGGAATGTTTGATAACACGCTGCACGGTTTCTCCTGCAGTGCTACGTATCTGTGCAAGTGACCCACTCTCTCTCTCTCTCTCTCTTAGCTCACTGCCTGATCAACATGACCCACTCTCTCTCTCTCTTAGCTCACTGCATCAACATGATGAGTTTCTGTGCAAATGCAAAATTCGATCAACATGCACGGAATGATTCTTTTTGAAGAATTTCCAAATCTCTTACATCACAGTATCTCTCCTTTGATAATTATTTATTTGCATGGAATTTTTCTTTCTCCTTTCCCGCCCTGCAGCATTACCGATTACGGAAGCTCGACACTGGTGGTTTCTATATTGCCCGGAGATCGACGTTCCCCGATGTGCTCTCACTGGTGGAACACTACATGGGCGACTCTGATGGTCTCTGCGTCAACCTACGGCATCCATGCAAGCGAGCGGAACTCCCGCAGACAGCAGGTCTGGCTGCCAACGTACAAGATCAATGGGAAATCCCAAGAGAGTCTGTCCGCAAGGTATGCATGCAATGTCACCCAGAAGCATTGTGCAACATTGCCTTGTCTGAGTGATCAGAGCCAGGATAATCTTGGTTTGGGTTCAGATTTTTTTGTATTGGAAAGCAGGATAAATTGTTGATATGGCAATCCTGCACCTCACACAAGTATGTACCAGTGCTGCAGGGATGCTCTTAGTGCTAATGCGTGTCAGTTTGATATTGTGCATGCAATCTCGAAAGCCATGCGTTGCTGTAATCTGAACACACGTACTCTCCACTTGGTGTGTTGTTCCAGGTGAAGAAACTTGGCGCCGGTCAGTTTGGCGAGGTGTGGGAAGGCCTGTGGAACAACACAACACCGGTGGCCATCAAGACACTGAAGCCGGGCACGATGAGCGCGCAGGCCTTCCTGGAGGAGGCTCAGCTCATGAAGCGCCTGCGCCACCCCAAGCTCATCCAGCTGTACGCGGTGTGCACCGTCCAGGAGCCGATCATGATCATCACGGAGCTGATGAAGCACGGCTCACTCCTCGACTACCTGCACGGCGATGGGCACACGCTGGACATGAAGCAGCTCATCGATATGGCCGCGCAGGTAAGCAGCCACCACCACTGATGATGCTGCTGCTGCTGCTGGCACTGGTACCCACTGTCGGTGTCACTGTGTGTCTAACCATGTTGAGTGCTACTAGTGCAATGCCGGGTTTAATGGTTACTAGCAACATGCGCCCAGCTGCAGTGCTGGTGGTCGCTGTGGTTGTGTCGTGGTTGATGGTGGCAGTAGTGTGTGTGTGTGTGTGTGTGTGTGTGTGTGCGCGCGCGCGCGTGGGCGTGTCTTCATGCGTTTATGGATTGGGGTGGGGATGGGAGGGAGCACGTTTTTCTCACGGGATATTTGAAGTACAGCACGCGTACACCTTCTCTAATCTCATCTGTACCATGGCGACTAGTATCCGCACTTCGTCCATGAACACATGGCCTGTTGAAGCAAGGGAAGTGCGTGTGCGCTAGCACTGTGCTGAAGGTTCGTTAGAGCAGTGTACGGTGCAGTACTGCCAGGCGCCGAAGAACGGAGCGCCAAAGAACAAACAGCCTAGAGTTTCACCAAGAACAGCACGCCATTGAAAATAAGAACGGTTTAGGCTACGGGTCTGACCGCCAGTTTTTCGGCGACTGACAGCACTGTAGTGGCTGTCCAGCTGTGACTAACTGTACTATTACTGACCAGCTATGCAGCAGCTATGCAACAGCTATGCAGCAGCTATGCAGCAGCTATGCAGCAGCTATGCAGCAGCTGCAGTTGAAATGTTAAAACCGCATGTGAGTCAATCGTATCATGGTAAATGTTTTGAAATGTTGATGATCATCAACGCATGTGGCAACGTACGGATGTGGTATATTCACCTGTGTGCTTCTCACACGAATCTGTGCACGCCCTTGTCCGAAGGGGTGCGGGTAAAGACGGGTATATTGTGCATGGTGGGCACCGTTTCATTGCAGTAAAGTCAGCGTCTGTCTCGGTTCTTGCTCTTCTCCCCCATTTCCTTGTGTGTGTTTGCACTGACCGTACAATACAGGTTGCTGCAGGAATGGCATATCTGGAGGCACAGAACTACATTCACCGAGACTTGGCTGCAAGAAACATTCTGGTGGGTGAGAACTTAGTTTGCAAGGTTGCCGATTTCGGTCTAGCACGTCTTATCAACGAGGACACGTACGTCGCTCACACTGGTGCCAAGTTCCCGATCAAGTGGACCGCTCCCGAGGCGGCGCTCTACAACAAGTTCACAATCAAGTCGGACGTGTGGTCTTTCGGTGTCCTGCTGACCGAGCTGGTCACGTACGGCCGCATCCCCTACCCGGGCATGACCAATCCCGAGGTGCTGGCGCAAGTAGAGCGAGGCTACCGTATGCCCATACCGGCTAACTGCCCGGAGAAGATGTACGACATCATGATGGACTGCTGGAAGTCAAACGACTACGAGCGGCCAACCTTTGAGACCCTGCAGTGGCGACTGGAAGACTTCTTCACCGACAACGACGACAATGGTTACCGCGAGGCGCCGTAAAGGTGAGCGGGTGCTTCTCTTTCCCTAGTACGTTCTTCAGGGGTCCAGTGTGCTGCCCCCATCGACATCATCAGTTAGTGCCTAACAGGTTATTTCTGGCTTGGTGGTCTTGCTTTGCAAGTACAGGCTGTTGGTTGTTACAGTCACCCGTCCACCTGACAACGCCTTTTCTCTAGCAATTCTTAACTTAGTCTATCTATCCCCTGCATATCCGCTCGTTCACCATTGGCAATGGCACTAGCAATTTCTGCCAACTGCTGTTGCTGCTCGTGCTGCTACTTATGCTGCATATCCTCAGTGACTTGACATAAACAGTACATCATGACATCCCCCCCCCCCCCTTCTTCAACCGTTCAAATGACAGTCGCTGTTCGGCTTAGCATCAATGGATCTAACACATGCCGGGCCAGCCGAGCATGCTGCAGCTTTACGCGACGCGGCACATGCCTTCTGTGTTATTATTTTTGCTCTCGCTCTTTTCTTCGTCTTTCCGTCGCGCTCGTCTGTGTAGAGTGCTTCTGGCAGGGCCGTGTCTGTTTGTGTGACCGTTGGCCTCTTCGTACATGACCAATGTAACACATATGTCTTGCTGCCACCGACTGGCTGTTAGTAGATCGTTAGTTGCTTTATCTAGAGAGAGAGAGATGAGTGCATCCGTGATCAGTGATGCGTGATTGACTGAGTTTGTGGTGGACACACTGTTCAGTGTTGGACACCGGCCGCAGCACCCTGCCCGCTCAGCAGGTCAGGCTGAGCAAACCGTAATTCTCGTTCTTTCTTCTTTATCTATATATTGCCGCAGTAGGAGAGCTCTATTTTCTTCTACTTTCATAAAACATATTTCACTCACTGCTTCTGTCCTTCACCATAGTTGGCAGGCATGCCTGTCTCAGTTTAGTATTTTGCCCGTCTCAACAGATAAAATTACCGTTCTTTTTTTAAAAAGTGTAATAGTATGCTCGGTTGGACAATATTTGTAGCAACATGCAGCTGTACTTTGAAGTACCTTGGTTGTGAAACTGTCTCGGTGCTTTCACTTCTGATGCGTGTTTCTATGCATCGGTACCTCTCCCAACTCTGGTTTTAAACCGATATAGAATGTAAAAACGATCGCTTCTCTCTGTCTCTGTGTGTGTGTCTCTGTCTGTCTGTGTGTGCCTCTGTCTGCCTGTCTATCTGTCTCTCTCTCTCTCTCTCTCTCTCTCTCTCTCTCTCTCTCTCTCTCTCTCTCTCTCTCTCTCTCTCTCTCTCTCTCTCTCTCTCTCTCTCTCTCTCTCTCTCTCCCCCCCCCCCTCCCTCTACTCTCTTTGCCAGCAGCAGATTTTCTCCCGTGATAATTATTAAATCAATGCCTCCCTTTTTGACACCCGACTAGACAACTAGAGAAGCTCAAGACTGATTTAGGAATAATTATTATTGCATGCATGCTCATGCACCACGGCCACGGCTTGCTTCTGCTGGCAGTAACTCTGTCTTGGATTCTTTCAAAAAAGTGTGCCATGCGTGGAGCTGCCGTGGTTGTCATTGTTTCCCAATGTTCTGTTTTTGTCAGTGTCCGCACCACAGTGAGAATTTCCATCCTGTTCAAGGTTGATTATCGACTTCTCTGCCTTCTGCGTTTGAAGTTGTGTGTGTGTGTGTGTGTGTGTGTGTGTGTGTGTGTGTGTGTGTGTGCATACGCGCCATCAGAAGGACCTCCCGGACCGTTTTAGTTTTTTTTGCCACAGAATTTCAACTACTGTTCTAGTACTTAGACATTCATGCATGGGCACCGTGGGTTTGTGGTACATGTACACGGGTGTAATTGTGCAGCGCTTGAACCATTGTCATGCCCATAATAGTAATACCATGCATGCCCCCTAATATGCAATGGTTGCCGCAGAATGAACAGCAGAACATTCCGTTTTCAAGAGCAGGACAATGTCTAATTTTGCTGCGGAAGCCAATGGGATCGGGGGGGTGGGGGGGGGGCAGTTTGTGCGGGTGTACCGGGGAGTCGGGGACTTACCATCAAGTAGTATGACATTGTACAGTGCCATGTAAATGTAGATCCCCCCCCCCCCCCTGCACTTTGGGTGTTAGTGTGTAGGATCACATCACGGCATGTGAATTTTTTTAAATAATTCTTTTCCGTGGCTATATTCACCCTCACTTCTCATTTCCTTGTATTGCATGGCTTTAATATTAGTATCACAGTATGGACCCTGAAGATAAGCCAGTGTGGACAACAGAAAATTGCACATTTCTCCTGCCATATTGACACATACACACACACGCACATCAGTCAGTTGAGCATAAGTATATGTACACAAAAAATAACAATAATACGAAGCAAAGGATAACATTGTAGCAAACATGGCGCAAAACAAACGAGCGCAGAGCAGGAAAGATGGGAAAAGCACTCGTTCGGTGCAAGGGCTCAGAAGTGTTTGGGAGCAAACTCTACCCACACTGAGTCTGTGCTAAAGTGACAAAATAAAACTCTCCACTTCTAAGAAATAAAAGTCATTTCGGTGCAACAATATACAAGAAAAATGCAAGATGGCACAAAGTATGCAACACACACATACACACACAAACACACACACACACACACACACACACACACATGTAGAGCTAATGTTACCGTGCACAACATAATGGCGTTAAAAAAAACAAAAAAAACAAGACACACAGCATGCACTGAACAACAGCGGCGGTAAAGGGAATAGAAAGGTCAAAGGACGAGCAGAGCAACCCTGCATGCATGGCTGGGATCCGCCAACATAAGGCGCGGTGTGGTGAGTGGTTAGGCTGAGCATGCACTGGCTACTGGTTGCTATGGTTACAGGTCGATGACTCACAGAGCAAAGTTAAGAATCTAAACTCTATCTCGGATATCAAGAAAGCATCTCAAGCAAAGCGAAACAATGGCAATAGCCCACATTGTGCCAATTGGAGACGTTCGAGCGCGGCGAAGCTAGCGGTTTTGGTCGGTTTCTGCGTAAACAGCTGCGTATGGTATACTGCATGCTACTTCAGTGAACCACATATTTAGTCACATGAGAGCTAGCAAGTCAGACGCAGCAGATTCCCATGTGTGTGTGTGTGTACGTATGTGTGGTTACATTCGATAAGTTCAGTTAGGTTCGGGATAGGGGAGGGGGACTGGGCAGGTGCTTAGTTTTAGTTCTATACGTTGGTAGCCGAGTAAGCATGGCAACGGCAGTTCTAGAGTTGGCTACACTTGGTCGGAACGGTGCGTTTCATGGAAAATAATATTATGCCTGTTTCGCAGCATTGAGATGCGTGCTGCATCACATATGCATTGAGTTGTGTTTAGTTCGTACTGCGCTCTCTTACAGCGATGCAGCTCAGTACTGCGCTCTCACACACAGTGATACAGCTCAGCTCTTCAGGTTGAGAACGGGCAGTTCGTTGGGGCGGCCCATGCTACTGCAGCGCGCCTGATGACTGACAGTTTCCTGAGCGACGACAGCGGGAACAAAAAACATCCAAAGAATGTGATTTAGTTTCCAGTCTGCTCGAGTACAACACAATACATGGCCTCGTGGATGCATAGGATTCGCATTCTTCCACTGCACTTAGCTGGGACACATGTTGGCAGTGACAGTTGAAGCACACGCTTGGAAATCAAATTACACAATACAAAGACGGATAGAGTTAGTGAAAAGAAATGTGCAGTAATCAAGTGCATGTACAGTCCATTTCAAAACTATAGACGCGTGAACTCATACGTACGAGTCGTACGTACTGTAGCGCACGACAGCCGTGAGTTTTGCATGAGTGTTTTCTGGTTTTCAGATGTGTTTTTCAGGTTTTTCTTCGTCGCCGCGGGAAATACAAAAGATGCAAAACACGCAAAGTCGCAAATGAAAAGGTGTGAGGAAAGTCTCAAAAGAAATGAAGGTCTCAAATGAGTCTTCTTCTTGTTTGCATTTTCTGAGTGCCTGACTGTAATGGCTTCCAAGGCCCGTAAGAATCTCAGTGCCGAGAAAGATATGATTAGTCGTGTTCTTTGTTTCTTCGAACAAGAGCTGGATTTTGATTGACGCTTGAGTATCCGAAATCCTCGTCGTCGAACTCACCTTGCAACTGGCGTGTGTGAAACCACTGTCACTCGTTGTGTCAGGCGAAGGGAACAGGGAGGCTCAAATCAAATCAAAAAGAGAAAATATAATTATCATCCCTACTGTATTTCACCCAACAAGATCCAAAACATGCAGAAAAGAAGAGAAAAAAGGCAGGAGGCGTGATGGGATTCGAATGCGCCACACTTGTACTGGAAATCACGGATCGAAACCACGAGGCTACCAGGACCCGTACAAAAATGCACCCGCGATGGTCTGGGCGCAGCACTGTCTCAGCAGGAGCAAAAATCCGAAACAAACTGATCAAACCCTTAAAACAAACTGGTCAAACCCTTTAAAACAGAAATTACATGTAAAACCGGAAAACCTGGCCTAAAAATAAACTTCAATTGTAGCGAAAACAAAGTATATAGCCAGAATTGTGAAGCGATGCAGAGACGGAATCTGGAGAAAAACTAAAAATATTTAAATAAATCCCATCGAATTTTGCAAAACACTACGCGTCTATAGTTTTGAAATGGACTGTAGTATGTCCGAAGACTTTCCTACAAATTTATCGCCAAAGTCGCTACCATTATTTTCGTACAGCTTGGATTTGTTAGGTACCTCCTCCTGTACCTTTTCTAGCTGGCCTGCATGCAATCGCGTACTCCCCTTTTGTCTCCTTTTGTTCCGTTGGCCTGGTTAGCTACTTGCGCGCCCATAATTGCCATAGCTACCCAGGCCCTTTATCTTGCCGTTCAGACTTGATCTCTTTCTCGTTTTTCTCACTCTTCAATGTAGTCGTTTCGTTCGTCTTGGTCTCTTGTCTCGTCGTCTATAATAAATGTCGTTCCCACTAACTTGTTCCTGTTGTCCGTTGTAATGTCTGGAGAAGATGTCGTCGATCGTCCTTTTTCGTACTCAACAGATTAATAACATTATTGTGAGTTTCCGAAGTTGCAAGTTTGTGATTTGGCATCCCTTGTAAAAATGGCAAACATCAGTATACCAGTATACTACAAGTAGTACAGTAAAGTACCATTGATCCGCCCCCTGTTGAATTTCTACCTGTGAAGCGACTGCAGTGTATACGTCAAAATACTGTCTGATCTTTTGTGAAGTCATACATACTTGAGAGCCTTGATCTAATTCCAGCTGGGAAGCGACACAGCGTTAAGGGGGGAGAAGGGATCAGCGGTATTCACGGTACTATAGAAGTAGTCACAACAAGAGAATTACCCGCATAGCAGTGACAGCACTGGGCTTCTGCACACTCACCTCAAACTCCTTATAGTTGATGGCAGCGATGGAGCCTATTGTGCAGTCGGCTACATCGTTGATATTACCAGCCAGTGCCATGCTAGCTTCGGGGTTGTTCCTTTCCTGAAGAGGTGTTCTCATCGGCTTACCGGCCGCTGACACACCTGCTTTGCGAGCCGACTGGCTACCTGCCACTTGCCTTCGCAGGGGTGTTTTCTGCATGGGCATGAGAAAGAGAGATACAGTCAGACCTCGCTTATCCGGTCCTCTTTTATCCGGATCCCTCGCCATCCGGAAGAAAATAGCTGGTTACAGATTTACAGCATACGTGATGCATCCAACATAACTGGTGTTCGGTTATCCGGTTCCCTCGCCTATCCGGATATTTTTGTGGAAAACAGATGTGTGCGGTTAAGCGAGGTCTGACTGTACTTCGTTGTGACCATTGCATTACCGCTGTCAGCAGGCTGGCCATCGCAGACGTCCTACAATCAAATAAATTCCCTGAGCCTCACTCCCTCAAACATGCATCTAGAGTGTCGGCTAGCAGCTTTTTGACCATGACAAGATTGTTCGCAGCACACTGCTGAAAGCTCCCCGACACACCGCATGCATTAGTACACTTCAGTGACGCGCTCAGACACGCGAACAGGGAGTTTGCCACTGGTACAGTCCCCGGTAACCCTATTCCCTAAACAGAAGTATTTGAAGGAACACTCTTCCTCACAGAGTTCAATCTACATGCACACGCAAGGCACATACCGACTGTGAAAGCGTTGGCTGAGGATTCCGCGAAGCAGACGCTGACGGCGTTGCTATGACCTGCATGATACAAACACACCACCATGTTTAGTACAGGAACACAAACAGTTGCGCACACAGTAACACACAGTAACACCGAACAAAATCATGGTTGTGCATTTAGCACTGAAAAAGGCGAATAGCCTAAGTAGGTAATTTGCAGGTTGGACACACGAAGAGCAACAACACCAGTGCCAGCAGTAGCGTCCAACCATACCCGCAGAAATACAATGCCACCAAGAACAAATAACGAGAACACGTCGAGGAGTAGTATCACGCGGATGATCTGATATCATCCACTGCAATATCAACTAAGTATAAATGACACTCACTTTACGCTTAGCTGGGTGGTTGCTTGACGGTGTTGTCGCTGGTCGCCTGCGTGTAACAAATTAAATGAAAACGAAATGCCAGCAAAGCGCATTACAGCAGCAGCATCCAGGCATAGGCCATGTGAAAACGCACTGAACATACATACATGCTCTCTGTCCCAGCGTATTTTTTTCCGGTCACTTACCGTTTGTGTGGTGTTATAGCGATGGCAGGCGGCACATCTTCCTTGCCCTTCTGTGTCTGTAGGCAATAGTGGAGAGCAGTACACAGCCAGAAGCAGAGCAGGAGCAATATCAGAGCAGTGTTGGTGAACAGTGGGAGTTGAGAAGCTAGCAAAAGCAAGAAATCTTCTACACATGACCATACACAGCCAATACATTTCGTTGGGGTTGTCCGTCCGTGATTCTGGCCATCTGCCACCACTATACAAGCGTAGCCTTATGAGACCTTTGCCGCACACACAGACACACACATACACACACATACAGACACACGCATACACACACACACACACCACAGGAGCACACACCCGCTTAGTCTTGTCCTGCTCCTTCTTGGTTTGCAAGCTCTCCCATTGCTCGCTGACCGTGTCTAGGTAACGCTCGTCACGGAGTGTGAAGATCTGCTTGGACTCATTCTCAAAGGCCTCAATGGCCTGCTGCATCTCCTTCTCAACCTGAGAAACACATCGCCACAGTCACAAAGAATGATCAGCCACGTGTGAAGTTGTTGGTTAGACTGGATGGAGACGACATTCATACCGAACTTCCACCAACAAAGATGGCCAAATAATAATTGCACAGCGAAATGACTTGTACCCTGCCAGCATTTTCACACCCATTACGTACGGATGTTAGCCGCCGCGCCCAACAATACACTAGCAGGATGTGTGACCTGACTAGAACGTTCAGCTCACACCGGGTTAAGTATACTCGTTAGAGTCGTTACACACAGTGCACAGTCAGATCTGAAAGGAACAAGCGCCCACAGCATCAATCATTGTGCCAGCAGCGTACCCTTGGCAGCTCCTTGGAGACGGCCTTTCTAGCTTTCTCCTCTTTCAGCAGCTGACCACCTCTGTTGGCATAGCGATTCGGATTGTTAGCGCTTGCCTGCAGTGCCAGTAGACAAACGGGAAAACAAGCCCAGACAGGATTGATGCCTAGCCCACTGTCAGCAACGCCTATAAGTTAATGTGTGAGGCATCCAGTGCATCAGTGTGAGGCATCCAGTGCATCAGTGTGCATGCTGCATACTGTATAACACGTTTATTTCAGTGAAACTTTAACTTTGGCAGAGAAACCAGGCACCTAAATTTAGATTACGCCTAAAAGGCGCTAGTGTATGCACTGTATATGAAGGGTAGGCTGATCACCTAATTCTACATTACACCTGACACCGAAATGTTAGTACATCTAAAATTACATGTTATACAGTACGTGGCTGACATACTTCTATGAGCCTCCAGACAAGGACAAGTGGCTTATGTAGTTGGCGCAATGTTGAGAAAAGCACATTTGAAATTGAGTGGATTGTATCGAGAGATGTACATGCAGCCAGTTATTCAAACAGCCATAACTCTGCGATGGATGAAGTGTGTATAGTTCCGGTGTACCAGTGTACCAGTGTACCAGTGTATAGTTCCGGTGTACCAGTGTACCAGTGTACCAGTGCTGCAGCTAGCGAAGGCTGCACAGACAGCTCTACATGCACCCTACAAACTGATTCAGACATATCCTTTTTCGGACCGGTTTTCGGAAGAGCCTTCAAAAATCGGACACTGTCCGAAAATTGGACGGTTTGGCAGCACTGCATCTCCCACAGACATGCCACACAACACCGCGCGCTTACCAGGAGATCCTTCATACGCGTCCACAGTCCTTCACGCTTGCTGACGAGATCATAAATTGGGGCGGTGTCGGCCAAGTATTGCTTTAGGCGCTCGGCCTCCACCTCGTGAGCTGACAGCAGCTCCTCGGTGGCTTCGTCTGAGCAAGTGCAAGAGATATACCATGCACATGAACACAGCTAGTACGCGTACTGTAAAACATGTAATTTTAGGTGGATTGAAATTTCGGTATCCGGGACCTGCCAGGTTGCAAGTGTAATGAAGAATTAGGTGACCAGCATTTCCTTCGCATACTGTGAATATGCTGGTGTCGTTTAGGTATAATCTAAGTTTAGGTGCTTGTTTTCACTACCGAAATCACCGAAATTAAAGTTTACACCGAAAATATCGTGTTTTACAGTACATGTACACAGAAGAGTCATGCATGCCAGCATGACTACTGGACACATGCTGATCACGGAGAGAATGCTGCACAAACCAAAGGTCAGCATGACGATCACAGGCTACAGCGAAACGGTTCACAATCGCTTACTAGTACTGTACACCCGTACCAGAATATTTTACTAGTGTGGTGAAATAGAACGTTACTTCTAAGGGGTCGTCGCAAAAGTTTTTTTCTCACTGAAATGAACGAAGCTTGCTATGCTGGACGACTAGAATCGCACGAATGTACATGTGCAGTGTCGGTTGACTTGCCATCTTGGCTCGCACCCCCCCCCCCCCCCTGAATGATGTCCATTTCAGGGACGACAAAAACCTTTTGCAACGATCCCTAAGGCTGTTGCACGATATCACCTATTGGCGCTGTAGCACATTGAAAACACCATGCAGTGAAAGTGCAATCAGGAGCATACCGTTGGAGAATGCCGGTGCAAACTGCTCTCTCTGTTGACTCCCAAACAAGCAGCGATCCCAGAGCTCAGCTAGCTCACACCTGCACACAGTAGAATCCAGTACAGAATGCAGCACACGATGCAGTACAGAATGCAGTCTATAATGCAGCACAGAATCCAGTACAGAATGCAGTACAGAATGCAGCACAGAATGCAGCACAGAATCCAGTACAGAATGCAGCACAGAATGCAGTACAGAATGCAGCACATGATACAGCACAGCATCCAGTACAGACAGGGAATGCCATCACATGCACTACACCGGTACTTAATGTGCACATCTGCTGGTCTTGGGACAGTACTTGACTGTGCCATGTTATCACCCAGCCGCGTGTAACTTGCAGTCAGAGGAGATACTTGAAATGTTACAAGCGACAAAAAATATGCACAAGTTGACATCACACCGCCACACAAAGTCCACCTGAACAGATCCGAAACGTGGATCAAACCTTAGTTTTAATGGACTCCCACAATCTACAATCTAGTACGATCATGTTAAAGGGGAAGTTAAGGCAAAAATTAAAATTTCACCAGTTGTAGTCTTCGGGGTGCTGAGTCGAATGGTCTTGGGCCGAGGAAGCTGAGACGCTCCCTTCCTACTTGAATCCCAATTGAACTCGCGCACTTCCACCGAAACTGGGTGACTGCGCCCTACTAGATGGGGATTTGTATGCAAAATGTCACTAAAAGCGCCATTTCGTTCTTATACAAGCATGGATGACCGCGATTGAGCCATATGTTGTAGTCTTTTGGACGCTGAGTCGACTGGTTTTGGTCCGAAAAGGCTGCGATGCAGCGTTCCTCCTTTATTCCCAATCGAACATGGTCGAACAAATGGTCACGTGCTGCTGCGTACACAAGTCACCTGGTCACCGTGCATGCAGGGTACAACTTACTAGCCTGTTTGACCTTTTTTGGGTGCAGTCCTGTCACTCGAGTTGAACTCGAGTTGAACCTTGGTGTGAAAGTTGTCGACTGCTGGCGTGGTGACCAGGTGATTTGGGCACCCAGGAGCACGTGACCGCTTGTTCAACCATGTTCGATTGGGAATAAAGGAGGAACGCTGCATCGCAGCCTTTTCGGACCAAAACCAGTCGACTCAGCGTCCAAAAGACTACAACATATGGGCCAATCGCGGTCATCCGTGCTTTTATAAGAACGAAATGGCGCTTTTAGTGACATTTTGCATACAAATCCCCATGTAGTAGGGCGCAGTCACCCAGTTTCGGTGGAAGTGCGCGAGTTCGATTGGGATTCAAGTAGGAAGGGAGCGTCTCAGCTTCCTCGGACCACGACCATTCGACTCAGCACCCCGAAATCTACAACTGGTGAAATTTTAATTTTTGCCTTAACTTCCCCTTTAAGCTGCTGCTGCTGTTTCTTACCTCACTCGTTCAATAAAAACATTCATATGCACACGTTTCAGCTCCTCAAGTCGGGCATGCTCAGTCTCAAGCTGCACGTATGCAAACAACACAAGCAAACACACACACACACACACACATTTCACAAACAGAATGGCAACGAAACCAGGACATGTTCTATTGATATTTTCTTGTTCGTAAGGGGCCGTCCGTAAATATAGATGTTTTTTTAGAGACGTTATTTGTTCATATCTTCCCAGACCCCTCCCCCCTCCAATACGAACATGCATACATTTATGCAGTGGACCGATATTTTTTATATTGAACGGTTGTGTGTACAGGTAGGTACATAATACTTGCTGCAGTACTAGTAGTAGTACAAGTCACAAGGTTCAAGTGCCTGCATGCTGCATGGTGCACGAGCCGCGACAAGCAAGTACAAGGTGCATACCTAAAAATAGCGTATGTGAAGATCGATATTTTTTCCGCCAAAAACAACGAACAGCGTCAAAAAACCCTCCCCATACGAACGAATATCGTCTCTAAAAAAACATTAATATTTACGGACGGCCCCTAATGGCTAATGGGAATAGGCTGCTCGGAAGACTGCGGCGGTTCTCTTATTCCCAGAGCGGGTATATTTACATTTTCACTACAGTCAAACAAACATTACCAAATCCATCACAAATCAGGACACAGGAATGAATGCAGGTACTACATAGTACATGTGTACAGGAGGAGATGTGCAACATGCATACCCAGTAGTCATGCATACCCAGTAGTCATGCATACCCAGTAGTCATGCATACCCAGTAGTCATGCATACCCAGTAGTCATGCATACCCAGTAGTCATGCATACCCAGTAGTCATGCACACCCAGTAGTCATGCACACCCAGTAGTCATGCATACCCAGTAGTCATGCATACCCAGTAGTCATGCATACCCAGTAGTCATGCATACCCAGTAGTCATGCACACCCAGTAGTCATGCATACCCAGTAGTCATGCATACCCAGTAGTCATGCATACCCAGTAGTCATGCACACCCAGTAGTCATGCATACCCTGTAGTCATGCATACCCAGTAGTCATGCATACCCAGTAGTCATTGTCGCGGCGACCTTGTCGCGCGATTTCTATCATGTTTGTGCCTGTTCTTGTTTCAGTACAAAACGCTAGTTCCATGCCCACGTTCCCGTGCTTTGTATGACTTGTTCTGGCCCACGTATGCATGACTGTACATGTACTTGACAGTTGTCAAGGCACGTGCATGCAGCACAGTTTGGCGCGCTTTTGCGAATGTGTTTTTTCTTCTCCCACGGTGGTGGGTTATTGCGGCTCTTCTTGGACACGAGTTGTTTTCAGTTTTGTTGTTCTCTAGTATTATTCTGGAAAGAGCGATTACTACAGACTCCTTTGTCCTATGATGTGTGCCACCTGTAGAGGTGAGATTGGACTTGTGACCTGTGTTGATAAATCGAGAGATTGGGAATCATAATCTTTCGACATGGTGCTTTAGTGACCAGAGATTTTCCTCAGTTTATTTAGTAAATTCCGACCAGAGTGATGGAGACTATCGCCCAGCTTGTAAAGTGTAGGGCAAACACGAAGCGACGACTCACACGCCTTCGCCACAATTTAACCCGGGAGCTTGCCAAAGACGCTCCATCACCACACTACCTGCTACGAGATTGGCAGCAGGCTGAACGCCTTGCAGCTGAAATCAATGCCACACAGGCTAGAATCCGCGATCTGACCGAACAGGCGACTTCCTCGGATGTTGAGGACCGCCTGGAGCAACTCGACAAGTGGGAGTTCGAGTTCAATGATGACCTGGAAGTCCTGAGGGACGCACGTACCGTTCTACAGAGGGAGAACCCGTCCGGACTCGCCACAGCAGATGCAGAACTGGAGGCAACCACCAACTCGAGTCGATCCAGTGCCCACAGCCCTCCCCCACGACGTCCCCAGCCGCTGTCTTGACCAGCGTATCCTTCAGCCCATCAGCAGTGGTGGTCCACTCCAAGGGTCCACCTTCCGCTCCTGCGAGCCCTCCTGTGACTGCTGTTGGTCCTGTCCCTGCTACTGGCTCTCCAGCCACTCCAGTCGTCCCGTCTCCGAATGAATCTTGACCAGCGTATCCTTCAGCCCATCAGCAGTGGTGGTCCACTCCAAGGGTCCACCTTCCGCTCCTGCGAGCCCTCCTGTGACTGCTGTTAGTCCTGTCCCTGCTACTGGCTCTTCAGCCACTCCAGCCACTCCAGTCGTCCCGTCTCCGAATGAATCTTGACCAGCGTATCCTTCAGCCCATCAGCAGTGGTGGTCCACTCCAAGGGTCCACCTTCCGCTCCTGCAAGCCCTCCTGTGACTGCTGTTAGTCCTGTCCCTGCTACTGGCTCTCCAGCCACTCCAGTCGTCCCGTCTCCGAATGTCTCCGAAACCCCCAGCGACCAACTCGTGCGGCAGCTGACAAGGCCCGGCAGAATATTGCAAAGTGGACAGCTGTATCGTTGCTGCACGTACACATCCCACACGCCTGATAAGTTTGACCGTGTCAGAGTGTGAGGATTAGGTGGTGCTTGGTCCAATTGGCAGTGACCTCACAAGCACATAAAACTCTCTGTATGCCTGTTTAACTGCTTGTTGTGTGTGTGTGTGTGCGTGTGCGTGTGTATCTGCATTACTTATGCTCTATAAGTTACCTCCCGGTGTACATTCCCGGTCGGCTGGAGTGTCGCGGCGACTTTGTCGCGCGATTTCTATCATGTTTGTGCCTGTTCTTGTTTCAGTACAAAACGCTAGTTCCATGCCCACGTTCCCGTGCTTTGTATGACTTGTTCTGGCCCACGTATGCATGACTGTACATGTACTTGACAGTTGTCAAGGCACGTGCATGCAGCACAGTTTGGTGCGCTTTTGCGAATGTGTTTTTTCTTCTCCCACGGTGGTGGGTTATTGCGGCTCTTCTTGGACACGAGTTGTTTTTCAGTTTTGTTGTTCTCTAGTATTATTCTGGAAAGAGCGATTACTACAGACTCCTTTGTCCTATGATGTGTGCCACCTGTAGAGGTGAGATCGGACTTGTGACCTGTGTTGATAAATCGAGAGATTGGGAATCATAATCTTTCGACAGTCATGCACACCCAGTAGTCATGCATACCCAGTAGTCATGCATACCCAGTAGTCATGCACACCCAGTAGTCATGCATACCCAGTAGTCATGCATACCCAGTAGTCATGCATACCCAGTAGTTATGCATACCCAGTAGTCATGCATACCCAGTAGTCATGCATACCCAGTAGTCATGCATACCCAGTAGTCATGCATACCCAGTAGTCATGCATACCCAGTAGTCATGCATACCCAGTAGTCATGCATACCCAGTAGTCATGCATACCCAGTAGTCATGCATACCCAGTAGTCATGCATACCCAGTAGTCATGCATACCCAGTAGCAAGAGTACATGAAAACCAGAGTGTGCAGCTCGGATGGGTGGCTGTCACGGCGAAATTCCGTGATTACATCATTTTAGTGATGTAGTGCGTACAAGCAGGATTCAAGCAGGTCTCTTTCTGCACAACTGCAGCTCAGTTGTACGCACTACGCCATTTCCCGCCTCCGGTCTGGGCCAAATATGATGTAATCACGGAATTTCGCCGTGACAGACACCCATAGCAGAAAAGGCCCAAAGCTGCACACTCTGGTTTTCATGTACCGTAAAGTACCGTTGATCCGCCCCCACGCCATGTCGCTTCCCAGCTTGGTTTTCGGCAGGGGCGGGAATTAGATCAAGGCTGTCAAGTGCAGTACGATGTACAACAATGTAGAGGATCAGACTGAATGTGCTGGATTGTGCACATTTTCATCCTGGATTGGCACGTGTTGTGTACAGCAGTGCATGTGTCGGTTCAACATCGTATTTCGTTGTATACGCCGAAGTCGCTTCACAAGGAGAAAATCGACAGGGGGCGGGAATTAGAGAGGGGGCGGATCAACGGTACTTTACGGTACTCTTGCCAGCGGTCATGCATACCCAGTAGTCATGCATACCCAGTAGTCATGCATACCCAGTAGTCATGCATACCCAGTCGTTATGCATACCCAGTAGTCATGCATACCCAGTAGTCATGCATACCCAGTAGTCATGCATACCCAGTAGTCATGCATACCCAGTAGTCATGCATACCCAGTAGTCATGCATACCCAGTAGTCATGCATACCCAGTAGTCATGCATACCCAGTAGTCATGCATACCCAGTAGTCATGCATACCCAGTAGTTATGCATACCCAGTAGTCATGCATACCCAGTAGTTATGCATACCCAGTAGTTATGCATACCCAGTAGTCATGCATATCCAGTAGTTATGCATACCCAGTAGTCATGCATACCCAGTAGTTATGCATACCCAGTAGTCATGCTACAGACCACCAGTATACTGAGCTTGACAGTGTTGAAAAGCCAGACATCTGGACAGCAGGTCGGAAGGCATCAACAAGGATGAAGGGTCCTGGCAAGATCTGACTTACCGCCACGACTGTAGGCCGACGGCAGTCCTGGTTTTGCGACAGGAATGCTTCTTGTTCTTCTTCTGCTACATCTAGGCGACTGTACAGAGAGGATATCTGAGAGCGCAAGCTGTTTGCCCTTGTGACCATGGTAACAAGCTCATCTTCCAGCTACAAAACAAGAGTAACGAATGGACAGAGAGAGAGAGAGAGAGAGAGAGAGAGAGAGAGAGAGAGAGAGAGAGAGAGAGAGAGAGAGAGAGAGAGAGAGAGATAGAGAGAGAGAGAGATAGAGAGATAGAGAGATAGAGAGAGAGAGAGAGAGAGAGAGAGAGAGAGAGAGAGAGAGAGAGAGAGAGAGAGAGAGAGAGAGAGAGATGGAAAGGCAGGCATGGCGAAAAAAGAAGAGAAAGAAAAGGAGGAGAAAGATCAAATACCCGTACATGTACTATGCAAATCTCCAACCTAAGCTTGCCAGTAGTCAAGTAGTGAATGTTTCATGCATACAAGAGTTATAAAAATAAGAAATAACAATGACTGGGTTTGTGATACTAGTGTCCGCTCTGCCCTACTTGTCATTACACACCCATATAAACACGGCAGTATGTCACTACATATGTACTGCAAAACTAAACACTACTGGGTATGTCTATAAACTTTACACAATGTCATGTAGATGTACTTGAGTAGCAACACTGCAGACATGTCCACATGCATGCAAAGATAGTAGTGCTGTACCTTGCTGACAATGGCCTTGACGGACTGCTCTGTCTGATCGGTCAGCTGCATCTTCTCAATGCCGTTGTCGGTGTTGAGCAGGAACTCCAGCGATCCCGGTGAGCCGGGGCTGTTGGACGGGTTGGTGTCCAACTGAAGCCATAACGACTGTACAGCATGCTGCAGGGAACGCAGTTTTTCTACTCGCGATTCCTAAGTATACAGAGTGGGGAAAAAAGAAGCAAGAGAGGAGTTGTCACTCACATAATAATATTATTATGGTCTCAGCTTATACTTTAACACAAAGGAGAGATGCCGTTGACTTGAGGTTCAGCTTACACATTTTTCTTCTTCTTCTGTATCTGGTACATTTGATTCATGAGAATAATGGTGCGCCTAGTAAACAGAAACGTTCAACCGATTCTAATGCAAATCTGCTTACGACCCATACATCAACTTCTCTCTCTCTCTCTCTCTCTCTCTCTCTCTCTCTCTCTCTCTCTCTCTCTCTCTCTCTCTCTCTCTCTCTCTCTCTCTCTCTCTCTCTCTCTCTCTACCTCCCTCTCTCCCCCCTCTCTCTCTCTCTCTCTCTCTCTCTCTCTCTCTCTCTCTCTCTCTCTCTCTCTCTCTCTCTCTCTCTCACACACACACACTTGTACTTGTACTTGTTGCTCACTGCCAAAACTGGTCACGTGGGTCTCCCCGGGAGAGGGGAGAGAGACTCAAAAGGAATCACACACACACACACACACATACACGCGCACGCGTGTACCTTGTCCTGCCGGGCTTCGCTGACCACATCCGACCAGCTCTGCAGCTGTTTGAGCGTTGGCACCTGCTCCTGGCTGATGCCGGCTAGCTGACTGGAGCGACAGAGTGCAGCCGACAGGTCTTCCTCTTCTTGCAGCAGTGACTTCATTTGCTGAACTCGACGTGATTTCTCCTGGTTAAGTTGGAATAGAGCAATCACATGGAAAGGTCCAGTAACCAAGGCGATTTATAGCAGTAGGTACTGGATAACGGAGGGGGGGGGGGGGGGGTAAATCAAGAGTCTCACACATTCCACCCCTCAGCAGGATGCACAAAAAACAGTACACTGCATAGCAGTACGGTATACCTTTCGCTGATCGGTTGTGAGCTTTCTGAGTTCCTCATCGCAGCGCAGCAGGGTGAGATCACTGTCGAGCTAGTGTAAAGGACGCAAGGCAAAGCAGAGTAGACCAGTAGAACAACAGTCAACACTCATGACAAGACAAAGAACAAAGCTGCACTGGGAAGTAGCCAGTAGTAGTACGTGATTGTGTGCATTCATATCATCAATGGTGTGTGCGTTCAATAAAACACGTTTTAGTGCATGACTGTGTCGACACAAGCGATTAATGCCGGTCGGCATGTACTACTAGTATGTAGCATAGGTTGGCTCTGAAGCCAAGCATCTACACTGTCATAATGCTTATAGCAGAGTCACTGGGTGGAACACGTGTTCCAAACTGCATTGGTGATCAGTTGGGCACTACTAGTAGCCTGGGATAACACTACAGTTCAGGGACTGCGACATGAAGCTGATGCTGGATAGCTGTTGGTGATTAATTACCCTACTTCTCCGGGGTAGTATCTGCACTGTAGGATACTAGTACTAGTAGTGGGCACACAATAATTTTATTATGTACTAGTGCCTTGGACCACATGCCCAGTCAGCCGCCGCCTGAAACTTGGGCCTGGGGAACTGCGGGCTTTCCGTCAGGGTTAAAGGGGAAGTTAAGCCTAAAATCAAATTTTCACCAGTTGTGTAGTCTTCGGGCAAAATGTCACTAAAAGCGTCATTTCGTTCTTATAAAAGCACGGATGACCGCGATTGGCCCATATGTTGTAGTCTTTTGGACGCTGAGTCGACTGGTTTTGGTCCGAAAAGGCTGCGATGTAGCGTTCGGCCCTTATTCCCAATCGAACATGGTCGAACAAGCGGTCACGTGCTCGTGCGTACACCCATCACCTGGTCACCATGCATGCAGACTGTTACTTCCAGCATGTTTGGGCGAGTTTCTGTCACTTGAGTTGAACCTTTGAGTTGAACCTTGGTGTGAAAGTTGTCACCTGCTGGCGTGGTGACCAGGTGACTGGTGTACACAGGAGCACGTGACCGCTTGTTCAAGCATGTTCGATTGGGAATAAGGGCCGAATGCTACATCGCAGCCTTTTCGGACCAAAACCAGTCGACTCAGCGTCCAAAAGACTACAACATATGGGCCAATCGCGGTCATCCGTGCTTTTATAAGAACGAAATGGCGCTTTTCGTGACATTTTGCATACAAATCCCCATCTAGTAGGGCGCAGTCACCCAGTTTCGGTGGAAGTGCGCGAGTTCGACAGGGATTAAAGAAGGAAGGGAGCGCCTCAGCTTCCTCGGACCAAGACCATTCGACTCAGCACCCCGAAGACTATAACTAGTGAAAATTTGATTTTAGGCTTAACTTTCCCTTTGATATGTCAAAATTCGAACGCCCCGAGGCTTTGCCGCATGTATGCATAGAAAATTAGAAATGAATCGCATACAATTTCAGCCATATTGAATTTGAGACCTGCCTGGCTGGACTGAGCCAGCCAGAAATAGCCAAAAAAACAACACATGCCAAACACTATCTCCCATTTCAGGCATGTTTGTACACATGCACAGACAGACGGACAGACAGGATACATACGGGAGAATGGAGTTAAATGTACCTGCGTCTCAGAAACAGACAGTTGCAAGCACAACTGTTTATACTCGTCCCGAAGTGTCTTCACATTCTCTTTCAGCTTGGAGCGGCATTCTTCTTCCTCGGTGCTCATATCCTCCAGCAATCCCTGTACATGCTCAAGTACAACTTTGGTACGATCGCATTGTTGATTTTCAGACAATCCGATGTCGTGCCAGATTGTCGAAAGCTGCTTCAGAGATTTGTCAATACAGTCATGCAGAGTCGCCTGGAGCTCGGCTCTACAAGCACACCAAGTCACAAACAAAAAAAGGAAACCATCAAGAGTTCATGCCAATCGAAGTCACGTTGCTTTGGTCAGTATAGTAGTGCACTATCGGATGTACCTAGGCCCACTTGGATTGGGGACTTCCATAACGCGACGATTGGCAGTCCAGTTCAGTTCCCAGTGGCTACTGACTTGATGTTAGGGCGATGTGCCAGGACTAGTTTCAGCTTTGGTGCTTGGCGAATGGAATCGCTTGTCACTCCAAGTCTAGAAGATTAGATATCTCACTGACACTGGCAAGGAGCAGAACAAGAAGAAGCAACGAATCCAAAATGATTTCTTCCTGGCCTTTGCATGCATGCACTTGTTGTTGCTCTTCGTCTTGCTGATTTCAAATCTACCGGTTTTGAATGCGTCCATTCATAGCAAGGGTATGACGTAATGCATTCCCTGGAATTTCGCTATTGTCAGTATTGATTTCTCTCACACTTTGGACGGGTTTGTTTGATGGTGCATCGTTTTTGTTACATTTTCTGAAACCCAGCCTGCCCAGTCGCTGGAACTAACTTTACTTCCGTGTACGTAGATCTACGTGTACGCGTGTGTGGGTACGAGCGACACGGAAACCCAAGTTTACCCGGTACACCCGAGCACCGATCGAGTTGACAACTCCGTGCTCGGGTCAGATTTACTGTAGCTTGCATTATGCAGGAAAGCTGGGCACGGGTTGTGTGATGTATGGCTCCCTGGTTTTGAGGAGCTTTGGGGCTTTTGTACTGAGTCCAGAACGTGTGACTCTGTGCAGGTTTCGCCAAGCATCTGTTTTTGGTGTTCCCATTTCGTTCACTCTCGTCAGTCTCGACTCTAGCTGTCGTGACCTGAGCTTTGCAGAGTTTGTCTTGTTTTCTATCCACTTCGGCAACTGACGCTGCCCGGTTGCAGTGGCCGGAGTAAATTGTCGTACGCAGCATCTTTGGCGATTTGACTTGTGTCATTTTGCCCGCCGTTGCAGCTGTCGCGGTTGTCCCTCTACTTGGTGGCATTTCAAGTTTTCTCGTACACGGCGATTTGCTTTTGGAGTGTTGGACGCAAAGGAGGGTGTGGATTCTGAGAGCCTGATGGCGACATGGCCTCAGTAAACTTGTTCAGCTTTATTAGTCGCTGTAAATAGTGGTATGCTGTGCTACATCGCTGGACTGGGTTAGCCAATTTGCCCCCATTCTCTTGAAAGAATGGGAAACTGCTGTTCTTCTGCCGAGGTCGACATTGACTTCAATGCCGAAGGTAAGATAATGACTGTGTTAGACACAATTATCTGGCGCATGTGCTCTCATATTTACGCCCGATGGAGATCGGCGAAGCATTTCGTTGCGTTTCATAAAAAAAATTCAAGGTTTGTACTCTGTGCGGTATGCTCCCCTCCTCTTGATCTATTATGAATTTATGATCATGCCAGTTAGCTTGTGATAATAGGGCAGGGCGCTGAATGCCACCTCTGAACCTATCGGCGTTCAATGGAGTTTGAAAGTGAACAGGGAAAACTGCTCCTGGTGGCCTGATCATGCAGAAAGGTGGATCTCATAACTGCTAGTAACTTCCCCTCCTGGATGTATCGTTACAATGGTTGCAGCAACTCTTTGTTACTGATGTGAAATTATTTTGTTCTTGTTAATAAAATTGACCTACGGGTGCCGGTCGATACTGCGCACCGGTATTCGTACACTAGTACTTAGTAGGTCTACTTGTCCTTGTGGTGTCGGTAGTAAGTGAAGCAATAATGAAGTAAATAGTTCAGTTGTCACCTTTACACTTACTTTGGGGTGGGGGGTGGATGTGCTGGGTTATCCATGAAAATTTAATAATGAATGAATAAAATTAATAATAAAGTAGTGCTAGTGTGCAGTGGTGCATGGTGCTGGAACAGTGGAAGTGAGATGTAGTTTGTATACGTGTGCGTAGTGTATTGTTGGTCAGTCAGTGATATCCAAAGATTAGAAATCAAATGAGTCCAAGATCATTGCCATGGTGCGACACAGTGCTGTTAGTCTACTTGAGTACACAGTACCCACAGCACACAGACTCAGTGCCTGATGATCCCTCAGCGTGACACTTGGACCATTCTGGCTTCTGTATTCCGACATAATGACTGTATTAGTGTTACCCACTTGTCACATCTGCTCCCTTTGGCATGCAGTCCATTTCAAGTGACTCTTTGTTAGTTATTGGCTGCGTTCTGGCCTGCAGTGCAGACAGTGTCGGGCTTTATCATTCGCCAGTGGTATAATTATGTTGCTGATTACTGAGCCGCTGGATACATGTAGGCTACAGTGCCGATGTTAGTGTGGGCTAGTTTATGTACCTACACTAGTAATGGTATGGTAAACTGTTTGTCCCGTCCCTACAAGTCCCTAGGCCCTACAGTGTACAGTATCTTAGCCAGTGCGTACTTTTACTAGGCTGCATATCGGTGTCACTTTCTGTGTCATTTACTCAGTTTTTTGTGTGTTGTGTTAGTCGGAGTAGCTTTGAATAACCTGTTCAAGTAGTAAATGATTAAGTCGAATGTATGAGCACTGGGAAATGGAATGTTCAACTAGTAGATGTACAGTGCTGGCTTGTTATTCTGGCCACCAGTCTATGTAACTTGTAAACTGTTACACACATGTCATCATGTGTGTGTGTGTGGTACGTGTGTGTGGTACATGGTGTGTGTGTGTGGATGCTCCCCGCGACATCGTCTCGGGCTCTGTGCCGGGCGGCGGTGTCTGCCATTGCTGCTCAGGCGACTCCTCCGCCGCCGCGTGTGCAGCTCGCCCTCTCATGCTGCAAGGCCCACTTTGGGGCCTGTGGCCGGTGCTGCCGCTCTACTCGTGGATTCCAAATCCATAGCTGCCGGAGATGGCTCTCTTGTCGTGCCGATTGAACATGGTCCGTGATCTCTCGGCAGACTGCCGACTTTCTGCCGTCGCGCGTTGTTTTCCATGTTGTCGGCCCCGCGAGGGGACACGTGACCGTAATGGCAGTTTTTACCAGGACCAGGACCAGTGTGTGTGTGTGTGTTAGGGACTAGGGGGATGTAATGGAGACATCGGATACATGTACATACAGTTCCCTGACCTGGGTCTCGCTTTTGCAGCTTTCTTGTCTGTTGCATGAGGGCACTGGAAGATGTTGTCTAGCATGGGTACAGTGGCAGGAGGTAGTGCGCCCCATTCCCTCCTACTCTAGTAGATCTAGCCTTGTAGTCTAGGGGTTCTGCTGCTGAGGTCCAATGCTATGTCATGTGCAGTGCTGCCAAATAATTTTCGCCTAAAATCGGACACCCTTCACTGCCAAGGCTGGCCACATGGTGCGAATTTTTCTCCTCAGCAATTTTTTTACAGAGAAAATATCGCCTAAAATACCATGAAAATTCGCTTTGTTGCCATGGTAACCGATATGGCACCCCGGAGTTGTCATGAATTTTGTAATGATGAGTGTGGTCACACACTGACTCTGTACAGACTGTCAGTGTACATGCCATCCAGGCATGTTACTTTGCACTTCCACAGCCAAGCGCTAGCCTTTTTAGAAGAAAGTGTACAGTGAGTTGTGCCTTCAGTTGCGCTGAAAAGTGAAAATACAGGACTTCTGCATAGGAAAGTAATGATCTCCGACATTTTGGCTGCTTTTCGGACGTTTCCCTTTTCGGACCGGTTTTCGGAAGAGCCTTCGAATATCGGACACTGTCCGAAAAATTGGACGGTTTGGCAGCACTGCATGTGTTTAGCTCTCCGTAGATCAGGAGAATTTGTTCGGCGGTGGTGGTGTGGGTGTGAATGTCAGAAGTGCTTCAAATGGGCAGCTGCCTGGCTTCGTGTGCAAGCACACACGCTGGACGCAAGCACACTGAAGCTCAATGGAAGCCCCTGCAGCTTGCGTGCCTGAACTTTGACATGATTGCCGGAGTGGGATTTTCCTGCAGTTATCTGTGTAAAGTTCATGAATTTGTGAATTTATTTGAAGGTGACAGCGATGTGATGGCTACTGAAACGGTACGACATTAACTCCTGGCATGTAGATCAACTTGCTCTTTGTGCTCTCCCTTTTCCGTGTCCAGTCAGCTTCGACCACTTTCGCGTGCTGCGGTCTATTGGCCGAGGTGCATTTGGAAAGGTACAGTATACTGGGCGCTACTTCTGATCACATGTGGGTGGGTGTTGGAAGGGGATGCTCTATTGAAACAAAATGCTTGATCTTGAGATTGGAGTAGATTTGCCAGCATGTATTGTAGTCTGCTGTGTGTGCGTGGCTCAATGTTCTTGGTGCTTGGGTTCACAGTTGAGCCAGTCTCGTGCACCAGTAATGCTTACATCTTGCCTATACATAGGGTAGGGACACCCACCATGGAGCATGCAACCGCATCTGAACCACATCATTCTGACTTGATCTCGATTTTTAGAACCTGGTCTATCCCACTCGTATTTTGTTGCCATCATCTTCTGACAGATGTTTGCAGAGGGATGGATGATGTGGGAGCCTGCACTCACACACGCGCGCGCGCGCGCGCACACACACACATTACGATGTTTTACCATCGGTGTTGACTGCTAGTCAGTGTGGAGGGTGTGAGTGAGTGTGTGTGTTTGTTAATAACTTACACTATGTCAGCTAATGTGCTGCTGCCACTGCTACCTCCATCTCTTCTTCTGCAGGTGTGTATAGTTGAGCGGCGCGACACAAACACGCAGTTTGCCATGAAATACATCAACAAGAAGAACTGCATCGACTCGAAGAGTGGCACGAACACGTTGCGCGAGCAGGAGATTCTGGCTTACCTCGACGGCACATGCCCATTCATCGTCAACCTGTGGTATGCATTTCAAGATCCGGAGGATCTCTTTTTCGTCGTTGATTACATGGCCGGTGGTGACCTGTCGTTCCACTTGCGCCAGGCGTCGTTTGATGAGACTCGCATGCGACTCTACTGCTGTGAAGTTGGTATGGCGCTATCCTACTTGCATGAAAACCGTATTATCCATAGGTGAGTTGGGAGCTGAGAAGCATGCGCACACGCACACATACTCTCTCTCTCTCTCTCTCTCTCTCTCTCTCTCTCTCTCTCTTTCTCTCTCTCACACTATCTGTGTTGCCACACCTGCCGACATGTCAGTAGCCTGCCGGTTTTTGAGGCCTGTCACGACCTGCCGACAATCGACAATTGACCGTCTCCTGCCGACAACAGCCGTGAAAGTGTCCAAAATTGACCTTTGTGCAAGGTTTAGAAGTCATGGTCCAGAATTTTGGCCTTTACTGCTCATTACGAGTGTTTCCATAGCTCTCGCCTACAATGCAAACATCAGCTGTCTGGGGGAAATCGGCAAACTCAGCCTGAGTCGTGTGCACTGTAGAATCCCGCTGGTGGGTTTGTACAACGAAGCTTGGCGATGTTCGACCTTGGCCTAGGCTTATGCGCGGGTGGGTTTATCCGCTGGATTCTACGGTATATTGGGGATACTATGAAGGGGGGGGGGGGGCGGGCAAAGCCCCCGGATGATGCATTTTATTTTTCAGTCTACTGATATTTGGCTATAATGATGTGGCAACACTGCACTATACTCTCTCTCACACACACATACACACACACACACACACATTTCTCTCCTTTATTATACGCTATGCATCGCCTTGGTATGCTATGGGGAAATCTTTCTATGTGTAACTTCCGATGTAGTGTTGGTGCATGTGCCCCTCCCCTGACTTGGCTGTTTCGCTTGTGTTTTGGAACTTTTGGCATGTGACTAATGTCTGAACTGTATGAATTGTGTGTGTGCTTGTGTGCTTGCAGAGACATAAAACCAGAGAATATCCTCTTAGAATCAACAGGTGAGGTGCTACCCAGCACTCTGTGTATATGTGTGGTTGGTTGGTTGGGGGCATAACCCACATGTGCAGCAGAGGGCTTTATTCTGTGTGTAACGGTGCAGTTTGAGTAGATGCCATGGGCATGCTGGATTTACTTTTCGGCAGTTCTGTGCGTGTTGAGTTGCCGGTCTGGTTACCATGGGCACCAGGTCATGTAGATGGCGATGCTGATACCGCAATTATTGTCACTATGGCAATAACAATCAACAAACATGTCAACTGAGTATAAACTGGTTTGACTTGCTGGTACATGTATGCTGAGTTTTTGCTAGGGGTGAAAGTTGGCACTGAGATCCCGAGTTAGAGTACTCTGATTTTCTCCGATCGAATATTCGAGTATTCGAGTATTCTTCATCTCCTAAAAATTGCACACCAAGGGCCTTAAAATCACATGATACAACCCTGATTGAACCAAGTAGAAGTCATTTTTCTCGGGGATATTAGTTGGTGGGTCATCTGGGCTCTCTCTACTCGTGAACAAAATGTTCACCACACACTCTGAACATCAATATCTGCCGACTGCTGCTCTGAAACTGCAGATTTCTGTGGTAAATGCCCGTACCATCTATGAACGAGTACTCTGATTTATTCCGAGTACGATTATTTTTGAAAAATCCGAGTGAGTACTCCAGTATTCGGTATAATTGTTTCACCACTAGTTTTGCCCATATTCTTTGCTGCATGTTGGTCATTTCTGGTGTGAGGTGTGTGCCCGTCATATCAATGGTCATTCTGAATTACCAGATAAGATTTGCCAGGAAGAGAGTCCTGAATTGTGTTGTGCATGCAGGGACGTGACTTCCTTTTTCAGCTTTGATCGTTGTCCTGATAACGTCACCTGACGATTTGTTTGTGTTGTTTCAGGTCATGTTCGACTGACCGATTTCAATGTAGCTTTCAAGTATTCAAGTTCTAGTAACTCAAAGCCCAGAGCGCTTGCGGGGACACGTCCGTATATGGGTAAGCACACGCTCTTCTGTTTTGCACCTGTGTGCGCACATACACGCACACGTGTGTCAGTGTGTGTGTGTGGTATGCAGGGTGTATGTCAGCAAGAGTACATAACCCTCAAGAGTGTGCAACTCCCTGCACAACCTCTATGCAGTGCTGCGACGGCAGAACTTCACATCGCGTGACATGGTTCAAAAGGTTACGCTGGCAAACAGTGCGAAGTGACCACAAGAGAGTTGTACCCAAAGCTGGGTTGCGTACAACCCTGCATCTATCATGCACAGAGTGCAAATAATGTGTACGGGTTGATTGCGTGATGTGAAGTTCTGCCGCTGCAGACACACACCATAGGGCCATAGCTGGAGTTGCACACTCTTGGGGGTTATGTACTCTTGATGTCAGCTATCTGCAAATCTGCAAAACATGACTTTCATTGTGCAGGCACTGGCTACTGTAGGTTGAAGTAAAGTGTGCTGTGTGGCACATGACTTGAAATAATAATATTACCATGATGTGCAATGTTCATACACTGGAGATGGTAGTGGAACAACTACTGTATAAGCAGAAATATTCGTCTGGAATTTAATTTCGTCTTTTTCGTCCAAGGAGCTTTTGGACTAAATTAAATGTAGGACTAATGTCGATTTGTCCAGCTTTTCTATACACTCTTATGATCCATGGACGGAATTTTCAACCGGACGAACTCCTTTTCTTTGGAGTTGGACGGAATGTTCTGCCTCTACAGTAATAAGTACTGTATAACACCTTTATTTCGGTGTAATTTAAATTTCGGTAACTTCGGTACTGGTCCTGGATCACCTAATTTAACATTACACCTAAATTTTCCGAAATACCAAAAATATGTAAATATCATGAAAATCACTGTCAAATTAAAAAAATCAACTTGTATACTGGTATAGTACTGTTGAGTTCGAAACAGGACGACTGACAACGGGAGCAAGTTAGTGGGAACGACATTTATTATAGACGACGAAACAAGAGACCAAGACGAACGAAACGACTACATGGTGATTATTGACGAGTGAGAAAAGAGAGAGAGAGATCAAGTCTGAACGGCAAGATAAAGGGCCTGGGTAGCTATGGCAAATATGGGCGCGCAAGTAGCTACCCAGGCCAACGGAACAAAAGGAGACAAAAGGTGAGTACGTAAGTGCATGCAGGCCAGCTAGAAAAGGTACGGGAGGAGGTACCTAACATACAACCCCTCCATGAAAAAAAATCCCGCGTCCTCGCGGAGAGAAAAAAAAGAGAGAAAAAGATTTAAAAAAATGAACTGGAGGAGAAAACACACACACACACACATGCACATACTGCACGCGCGCATGGATCTCACGAAAGTGTGTACTAAAAATGCACTCGTACACATCATTCCTGTACTACTTATTGTGTGTAATAACTATTGGAGTTTGACGAGGAACGTGAATTACTAGTATTTTGCACGGCTAATACAGCCTAGTTACACTTTTGCTAAACATCCAAAAATTAGAGCGTGGCTCACCATGATCGGACCCCTAACTTGGTTATGTTTTACGAACACACGCGCGCGCACACACTACAAAAAAATTCACGAAAATAAATTTGACGAAGAAGCATACAAAAAAAAGAAAGAGAGAAAGGTAGCTGACCTGCATGGCTTGAACGAGAATAGACGAGGTAAGGTTGGCGTAGGAGAGACGAGGTTGATAGAGACGAGACGAGGTTGGCGTAGGAGAGACGAGACTGACATGGACGAGACGAGGTTGACATAGACGAGACGAATGGTGGTTGAGGACGGCTGGCCATGGGATGATCTCAGGGTCGTGGGTCGATCAATAATCGGGCGCCAATGTTGAGTTCGAAACAGGACGACTGACAACGGGAACAAGTTAGTGGGAACGACATTTATTATAGACGACGAGACAAGAGACCAAGCCGAACGAAACGACTACATGGTGATTATTGACGAGTGAGAAAAGAGAGAGAGACATCAAGTCTGAACGGCAAGATAAAGGGCCTGGGTAGCTATGGCAAATATGGGCGCGCAAGTAGCTACCCAGGCCAACGGAACAAAAGGAGACAAAAGGTGAGTACGTAAGTGCATGCAGGCCAGCTAGAAAAGGTACGGGAGGAGGTACCTAACAGTACATATACATGTACATATGTGGAGCCTAGCCGGAGATATTAGAGGAATAGCCGTTTTTTGTTTTTGTTTTTTGGTGCCATGCATACCGAATTTATCCTTACACCGAAAGGTCAGGGGTTGGCTTTTACCGAAATTTTACAACACCGAAAATAAGGTGATACTAGTATACAGTATTGTCTTCCATTCCTTCCACTGTGTGTGTGTGCACACCTCTGCAGGTAGTGTGTTGAGCACTATCGCAGAAACTGTGTGTGTGTGTGGGGGGGGGGGGGGGGGTAGGATGCGGGATGTGGGCTGAAAAGGTTGTCGTACTAGCTCGAGACCTGTCCTCTTTTCGGCCCTGTTGTTTTCTTGGCTGTAGCCCCGGAGATGTTGGTGGGTGCTGGTAAAAGCGCGTATACGCCTGCGGTGGACTGGTGGAGTCTGGGGATCAGCATGTATGAGTGTGTTGTTGGCAAGGTGAGTGGGAGTGACAGCTTGGCTCAACTGTCTGTGAGGAACTCTGCAACAGTTGCCATCGACTGTGCAGGTGCGACCTTTATAGCACTGTCAGAAGTGGGGTGCACCCCTGCGCGATAGGTTAGTTCCGGTGCCTTGCAGAACCACAGGCTTCTGGATTCAAACCCATCAACTTCAAAAAAAGATGAGACAAAAGCTCTTTTGTTCGCTACCCTTCAGTCTCCCGTAAGAAGGCCAGTGGCCTGTAAGCGACACTGAAGTAAAGAAGAGAGGTTATTCTTCATTGTGTGTACACAGCTTCACTATGCATGTTTGCATGCTGTTATTCTTCCATCTTCATGGCGTGTGGTATTGCGATAGACCGCTATCATGAATACACGTGCAGTCAACCTCGCTTGTAACAACTTGTGAATGACGACACTATCTTCAGATCTAGTATACATTTGACTGCGTACTGTCAACCTCACGATGACGACGACTCGTGAATAACAACACTTTTCTCATGGCCCGATCAAGGGACGTTAATCGTGAGGTTGACTGTATGTTTGGGGAAAAATGTCTGATATGGAAGAATTGACCTGTAATTGCGTAGTCTGCTTTTCCAGCCATGTGCGTTCATGCCAGGGTTTCCATACCTCTTGGCGAAAGGCATCGCCGTTGATGTACAGTGTACCCTGTGCTCTTGCACAGCATCTACCGTCTGTTGAGTTTTGGGACTGTTGTTGTGGCCTTGTTCAGCTTCCGTATCACTTTCAGCAGAACGCCACGGAGCAGGAGCTGCGCGAGTACTTCCGCTCGTGCAAAGTGGCGTATCCGCAAAGCCTGACCAAGGAGTGCTGCCACGCTCTTCAGCAGGTCAGTAGGTTCTTTTTCGTCTTGGTCGCAGTGTTTTGTGTTTTCAATGTACCATGGTACTGTACAGTGAGAGGGGCCCACCACTTTTAATTATGTTACGCTGCCCTTTGACACGTAGTCAGGTGTGTACATTGTGTGGTGTAGATGGAGCGGTGCTCAACACCGTGAGGTGCTCGCGCACACTGTGCGTATAGAAGATCTATGCGTACAGCTGCTAAGGGCGCTCGCTCACTGTTTTACAGCGCAGGTGCTAGCACACGGAACGAGCTCCTGTCCTCTTACCGTGCTGACGTGTATGCAGCATTGTGATGGGGAATACAAGCCTGGTGGCTAGGGTGCCTTCGCAGGACTTACTGTCTTTGCTTGCGTTTTCAGGCACTAGTCTCCGGCAGTGGGTGCTTAGAATCCCTTCTGTCCGTTCTGTGCTGCATTGACTACGACTGTGCATGTACATATACGTGCTAGAGACAGAATGAGCTTGGTGCGCACGGCTTTTGCGTTGGTATAATTGTCTGGAACTAGTGCAGACTGTGTCTGTGCGGCTCTGTGTGTCCGTGCTATGACCACTCTCACTCTGTCCTGTGTTGCGCACGGCTTTTGCGTTGGGTTGTGCTGCAGTTCTTGCGGATGACAGTCTCCCGGCGTGTGCAGAGCCTTGACATGATGAAAGAGCTGGACTTCTTCAAGGACATTGACTTTGCTGCGGTCGGCAGGTGTGAAGTGCAACCGTCCTTCACGCCACAGGTATGTACCTAGCCAGAAGCAGCCATCTAGTGGTTGCTTCTCTTAGCAGTAAAGAGACTCTGCTTTCTGTTCTGGGAACACAGCTGCTGGCTATTAGCGTAAACAAGAGTCCATAATCCCCCAGAGTGCGCAACTTCACTGATCAGGTCTGGGACGGCGAAATCCGTGTTGCACGTCATAGTGTGACATCATGGGTATGGGGAAGTGTTTCAGTGGTGGACCGCGTCGGCGGAGTGATGCAAATCCGACCCAAAAATGATGTACATCGCGGATTACGCCGTCCCACAACCCCATCCCAGTTGCGCACTCTGTGGGGGGTTATGGACTCTTGGCGTAAATATGTGTGTGTGTGTGTGTGTGTGTTTGCGGTCGAGGACTTAAACTTTGTGCCGAGTCTCCTCGCACTCTACACACGCGCAGTAGGCTTATAGGTCGATTGACGTGCCGAGTAGAGTTGACTCGGTCGAGTGCATGCTGATAGCCAACGTCAGGTCAGGTTGTTCATTTCTTTCATCTGCATTGCCAACCTTGTCAGAGCTGAACTCTTGGCAGCTGACTCAGTAGGAGGTATTACTACTAATTTACTAGTATATGAATGGGCATGCACTCGTTTGTTTGTTGTATGGCCCAGAAGGACTTGAGCTGTGGTACATGTAGTTGGAGATTTTTCCTTTATGGTGGTATCTAGTATGCTACTGACAATGGTAGGTATGTTGTGTGTGAGTGTTGTTATCACCTTGCCTCTGCAAGATCATTGATTGGCAATTTTCTGTTTATTACAGTAATTGCCTTTCCCTGCCGCAAGTGATCTCTGTCGATACATGTCCTTACGAAGCTTGACTTGTTACTGTTGGCTCTGTGTATTGGTGATGTGTTTCGCTTTAGGCAAATTTGATGAACTGTGATCCTATGCACGAATTGGAAGAGATGATTGTGGAACCTCAGCCGCTTCACAAGAAGAAGAAGAGAATGAAGAAGCGCACCGAGGAGGAGGTTAGATTGGGAGCTTCTTTGGCTTTAGTGCACAACTTTCCTTTCACATCTTTCTTTGCCTGGCTGTTAATACACTGTATCGGTATCAGTATTGGATGATTGTTCTGACGCATATTCTCTGCCGTCTTTGTCTGTTTGCGTCACCAGGAAGCTGCCATTGGCGACGATCTTAGAACGTTAGAACAAAAATTCTTCACGTTCGACCGTCTCAAGTAAGTTTTTGCTTTGTATGCGCATATGTGTGTGGCCGTGTGTATGTGTGGTTGTGTGACCAGTTTTGGCGGCGGGCATGTACAGTACATGTGTGTGGCCTCTCTCTCTCTCTCTCTCTCTCTCTCTCTCTCTCTCTCTCTCTCTCTCTCTCTCTCTCTCTCTCTCTCTCTTTTTGCATCCTGGAGTATATTATGTTATTAAATCATGATTTAGATGATCATCTATATGGTTAGCAAGTTAGGTTCCTTGACCTTTGAGGTTGCACTTTCTTGTTGATGAAACCTTGTCTTGTATGTTGGTGGTATTTCGTCAATATCCGGATCACATGTAGGTGTATATCATTGTGATGTGTGTGCCCTTGCAGAGGTGGTCGTCAGGGAAGTGAATCTGGTGAGGATGTCGAGCACGTTCCAGCCTCCTCCAAGCCAAGCTCAACGGAGTGTACCGACGGTGTTGGTGTTGCTGCCAGGAATACTGTGTCACTACACTCCATCGAGCCACAAGAGCTATCAAATCGCACCTCTGCGCCACTGGAGCTGGGTGCGGAAGACAGTGCTAGCCGTGTTGTTTCTGTTGTCAACGAGGAGGCCAACTCGCCCACTTCTGCTGATTCCGACACTCCTCCTGGCGGTCCTGTTGCTACACCTGCTGTTGTTTCATCGGAGTTGCAGCGTGGTGATGATGATGAGGACGATGAGGATGCTGAGGTCAGTAGCTCCAAGCGGCTCATTAGCGTATCCGAAAGTGCTGCTGAAATCCAGTCTATGCCCCAAGTGGTGACAGAGGGAGCTGACAAAGCAACTGCTGCCGCTTGTCAGGATGATGGCTCCACCACAGTCTCTGTGCCGGAGGTAAAGACAGAGAGTATAGGAGATGGTGGCGAACCGGTTGTGGCAGTTGGAGAGAGCGATAGCATACTGGACACGGAGTCAGCAGCCGCCGCATCTGCCAACGGCCAAAAGCGAACCTCACTGCAGGCCGAGCTACCTCAGTACAGAAAGATGGCGTCGCATTCTGAGTCGTCCATGATCCCGCTGGTCGATACGGCCGAGTTTGGCACATCCATGGACAGTGTAGGAGATGTACTGCCTAGCTCTGTGACTGAGGAGGTTTCTGTGCCAGCTGCCACCTCGCCTGGCCTTACAGGCGAATCGAGTATATTTGATGAGGGGGCTACTCCGCAACCCGTTGGTGCTGATCAATTGACGGCATCTGCGGCAGCCACGTCTGAAGCCCCTGTACCAATGGAATCTGAGACTGTACTCAATGCTGAGACTGTACTCAAGCCGGAAGATCAGCCGGCGTCTGAAACGGAAACCCAAGCCGCGGCTGAGCCGGGCAACGAGCTTGAAGATGGTCAAGCTAAAGTACAAGTGTGTTCTGAATCTGTTACTGGTGATACTGCTGATGCTGCCCTTCCACCCCAGCAATCGTCCGTGTGAGATTGAGCGGCACAGTTAGTACCTTGCCTTGCTTGCCGCCCAAGTGTAGAGTTTTGTTATGTGTGGACTAGTTCTTTGGCCACTTGCTATTGGACTTGAGTCGATTGGAGTTTGACAAAGGTTCATAGCCTATTTCGTGTGCCGAGACCTGAGACATGTCGGTTACATTTGCAGTGTCGATGTGCCTTTTTTTATGCTGCACCCTATCTGTAGGTTGTTGCAACTGCCGCCACTGCCTTTTAGTCTAGCGTTCTTATTTTGCTTTCAGCACACTCAACCTTTGACTGACACCATACAATTTCGGAGTGCTTTACTTTTCAGTTTTTTGAGCTATTGTTGAGAACACGGTCATCTTCTACTTCTGCCTGTTTTTCTTTTCTTTTTTTCTTTTCTTTTCTTTTTCTTTTAGCCAGCTAGTTCTTTCCCTTCATGTCTGTCGAACATCTTTCCATGTCCCCAGTATTGTCGCTGTCTAGTTTTTAAATGCGCGTCGTTGTTTTGTTGTGATTATTTAGCTAACACCACTTGAGATCTATCGACGACATCTTGGTGTTGCTATTCAGTCAATCTTGCGGCTGTTCCTATTGCCGCCGCTGCCGCTCCTTCTTGCTTTCATTCCGTCTTACTTGCTGTCCCGTGTGTGATTTTGATATGGCTTGACCGCTACTACCCATACCAGTGTCCACACTAGGATTCTGTTCCCTCCCTTTTCTTGTTGCTTCATCAATCATCATCATCATCAACATGCCGTGCACATCGTCGCTACTTATTGTTACCTCCGCTCGAGTTGCAAACCTGCTTCTTCCGGGTCCGTACCTTTTTTTCTTTTCCTTTGCTGGGTATCCACCACCGCGTCCCTTTCTTGAACTCCGGCATTATGACGCATGTGTACATAGTAACTAACTTTAAGAGCAACATTGTCATACCTCGGTAATACTGTAATAGATCTCACTTTCCATCGACTTTTGATTCTGAGCCATTTTTTGCTGAGCATATTCCGCACCCTGGATGTGCCTGTCCGCAATCTCTCTCTCTCTCTCTCTCTCTCTCTCTCTCTCTCTCTCTCTCTCTCTCTCTCTCTCTCTCTCTCTTTCGCTTTCTCTGTTGTCCGAATCCAGTCTTTCTTGTTGACAGCATATTAATTTTTGTTGTTTGAAGAAAATGATTTATTTCAGTGGTTTAAAACTGGTTTCTGCTGCTTTTAAATGTTGTCCGATATCGGCCTTGGTGCTGAGTGTGACGAAGGTAGGTTTTGAATTGTCGATAGAACGAAACATGACCAAGTCCTATTACTGTAAAAGCCATTATTCTAACGAGGCGCATATATAACGATTTCCCAAAATTGACTAGTTTACGTGTACCAAAGGTAACGATTTTCACTCATTCTCAACGCTCAATAGTATTATGTATCGATTTCTGTATTTTAACGACAGATGTCTCCTCGTACGATCGTTAGAGTTAGCACTTCGTTATAATTATGGCTTTTACAGTATCTAATTATGACTGCGCTTTTCAGGCTGGGCCATCACCAGGCCAGGGACATTCATGGGACTGCTTTACTGACCTGGTAAACCAACCATATTGAAAAATGAGAATGAACCAGAAATCTCCATCAATGCATTTATGAGTGCATGAATGAAGAAATTCCCGCCAGGATTATAATTTTTAAATTTTATGCCGTGCCCGACAAGAGAGTCAATCACTGTGCAGTGTACATGACTAATTTTGTTGTATTTATTTACTGTAAGTGTATCACTGTGTTTACAAAAAGATCTGACATGCCTGACCGGCTGCGTCCCATTATTACATCCTCATCGGGGAGTTTGTACGCTTTCCTGGTCCCAATACATTATGATAGTGATACTATCATGTAACTCTCCAGATCTGTTGAGTTTGCCGGTTCCATCAAGAGTACAGACGTTTTATTTACTCTTGGGGGATGGTGAAAATTGGCTAGAGATGTGTGTTTCACATGTTCCTACTTCCTGCACTCACTGCCGTATTTTGACCATCTTCCATGCATGTGTACCTCAAGATGAACGACTACTAAGTATTGCTTGAAAAACAGCACCGCATGTGCATGTGCTGGAGATATCTGCATGCCACTCAAGGGAGTCATACCCAAACCTATCTGCTGTATCAAGGGGTTATGAATTCTTGGCTGTATGTATGTGCACCAGGAGTCGTACCCAAAACAGGTTTGGGTACGACTCCCTGGTGTTAGCAAGCGCTCGCTTTGGATACCAACGTTCACAACAGACCAAGAGATAGCTTCGACAAGGGGAAACGTCTTCATGGTGGACTGTTGGTGATGCAGCCATTGTACATTATGAATGAAGCAGTGTAGTATGCAGCATGGAAGGAAGATCTGCACTCAACGAGTGAAAGAACAAGAGTTGAAGAGAGCCAAATCAAATCCTCAGCAGAGCATACAAAACAACGACAAGAACGAATGTGCAGGTGAAGCAAAAGAAGGAGAAGGAGAAGGAGAGGGAGAGAGAGGGAGAGAGAGAGAGAGAGAGAGAGAGAGAGAGAGAGAGAGAGAGAGAGAGAGAGAGAGAGAGAAGACTGTGCAACGGAGAGCGTGGCCAATAGGAGAGTATCAAATGAATAGTTATAATAATTTTTAGTACCCTGTTGGTCGTAGCTGTTGTTATTATCATTATTGGATGTGCCGTCAACAGTGCCTTAGGATATGCCAGGATGCATTGCTATGAATGGGCGGAGGCGTAGGGGCGTGCAGGGGGAACAACTCCGACAGCAAATAACAACTCATACGGCCACAGCAGAAGGGAAAAATGAACAGTAGGGGCAGCGGATTAGTATTACATGAGTGTGAGTTGGGGGCAGGGCACTGGTACAACAAGAAGGAAGTGAGAAAAACATCAGATTCTACAGAAACGTATAGTAGAGACAACACACAAAGATGGCCAGCCAGGGTAAGGTGTGAAAACAGAGACAGACGAAAAGCAAACACACGGAGAGACATGAACGGAGATGATGATGATGATGCGTACATAATCCTAGCGTGTGTTTTATGATAACAAATGAAGGAAATACTGAAACAGGATTTGTACAGGCACAAATAATAGAGTATTTCATATGGCAAGAAGACACGTCAGATAATAGAACTGCATGTGATGAAGCAGAGCGCGTTGATAAGGACTGTGTTTGTGAAGATTGTGTGCGCACGTGGCGACGACGACGACGACGATGGGTGCTGCGACCGGTGCACCTGACCACAGCACGCACACGCGCGCGCACGCAATGCTATAGTTTTCCACATTCTGATAAATCAACGTCACTAAAGAAAGGCGACAAAATATAAATACTGCCAATCTGGCCAGCAGGCAGGGGTGCGCATGTAACCATGGTAATCATGTAGATACAGAGGATGGCGGAGAGAAGAATGCACGTCTGAAAAAAAGGCACAGTCTCCCTCTGTTGTGTTCAAACCTACTTAAAAATCTGTCTACAAGAAATGACTTCTAACAAATAGAAAAAGAAAAGACAAAAGGGGTTGTCTACGACGAGGCCATGCCAGTGACTTCCTCGAATTCTTTCATCGCTGCTTCGGCGTCTGCCCTAATATCAGAAACCTCCACAGATTTCTTCGACATGAGGCCAGCGGTCAGGAAGTCAAAGTTCCCTGCTGCGTCCTCGTCTATACTCTCACCTTCGTCATCATTATCACCAGTATCGTCCATCAAGATGCTATCATCTAGATCGGTGACTTTCGGAGTCTCCTTGATTTCAATGACATGCGTGTGCGGAGATTGCCTGTGAGAACTGACAGCTTCCGTCTCATCTGAATTCTCGGTGTGAGGAGAAGAAGATGACGCACCAGCTTCGCCTGCTTGTCTGTCATCATTGCTGTAGTCAACGAGCCACACACACACACACACACACACACACACACACACACACACACACACACACACACACACACACACACACACACACACACACACACACACACACACACACACACACACACACACACACACACACACACACACACACACACACACACACACACACACACACACACACACACAACCATGGACAAGAAGATCACAACACAAAAACAGTACAATGAAAACTTCAAACCAACACCAAATTGAACAATAACAAGAGTACATAACCAAGAGTGTGCAACTCAACGATCCCCCAGCGGAATTTTTTCATGACTGATATCAGTCTTTGGTGGCTGTTTGGCTCGTTGATGCCATCATGCGTAGCCAGAGATCAAAGCACAAAGAATTTGTACATCACAGCTACGGTAGGCGAAGCAGAACAACGGACGATAGATCGATGTGTCTTGAACCTGGTGAACTCTCACCGTATCCACAAAAAATGCGCAGGAAAGCATACGCACTTGATCATACTTCAGCCAAAGAATGACGCAATAAAAAAAATTCCGCCGTGGGTGAACCCATCGCAGCTCGAGATAGGAGTTGCACACTCTTGGTTATGTACTCTTGATAATAATAATGATAATTTAGGGGCTGTTTCCTTGGTTTTCAAATGCCACCAGGCCAGGCGCACTATATCGACGTCGGGCGCAGTGTACCCATACCATACTTGTCACCAACACAGTGCAGCCACAGGGATTGTACATTTCAAACTCGTCAACAAGCGACTGAACCTCACCAAGAGGATCATACGTTCATTCAGACATTCACACCACATGAGTATCCACGTACTATTTATGAGGATATCGAGTACATCAAATACTGACAGAAAACAGGTATGACCATACACAACCCTTGACCATCCACCTCCTAAAAACAGTATTGCTAAGTACTACGAGAGTATCCCAGCTTGATTTTACGGCAAGAGAAAGGAAAACTGTATGGCATGGAAGAACCTTAGGGTACTAAGGTCTTGTGTGGGGCTCGCATCTGCTCTAAGGTAAACCAATGGTAAGCTGGGTTTAGATTCCAAAATGCAAAATGGGCAATGTGTGTACAAGATACGTGTTGGATGACGTACAGACAGGACACCAACTCCAAAACACGACTACAACAGGGTGGTGGTGCGCTCTTGCGGAACTTTATGGTAACAGCTGGGAGTATATTACATGTACTCATATTGACAGGTGTGGAGCATAGAATACTTTTGTGTGCAGGCAAAGCACCCATGAGTTTCACACCTCATTCAAGTGCATGCAGCGCACCCTGCACTGTCACGTCTGTTGACTTCATGCACTTGCTTCAGAGCGCACTTCAACCCTGCCAGCCAGGATAGCACTCTTGGCTAGTTTTCGTCAGTGTATGCAGGTCAGATATGACACCTGGTACACTAAAAGCCGGTTGCTGGTCGCGCAAAGCAGGCGATCGCTGTATCTGGTACAGTTTCTGTGTAGAACTGTCCGTGCATGGAAAAATGGTCGTGAAAAGCAGAAGATCACTAAAACCAGTTTCCCTGTACAGTCCATTCACAAAAAGATGGGCACAGGCTCTGGCGAGCTCCCGTATTTGGTGATGTTTCGTGATTTTATCATACACGTTGCAGTGCCGCGGATTTTGAAATTCGAAAAAGGGTCCAAAAAGGTACCTCAACTGGAGTTCGAACCTCACAATGCATTGTTGCAAGTGGAGTGAAACGACCTGGATTTTCATGGTTTTCCAAATTCAGTGTTTTTGGGGCAAAACCTTGCCGAAATACTATACTGTAAGACATGTTATTATAACGAGTCGCAAATTTAACGATTGTCCAAAACTCATAGGTTAACGAGAAGATATGTTAACGATCTTGCAGTATTCTACCATATCCACACACAGCATATATGAAGCAGTACGGCCTCAACGGATCTTATTATAACGAAGAAATGTCAGCCGTTAAAACGTTAGATTTGCTTCCTCGTTATATATACATGTCTTACAGTACTTGTTACGGCTTGCTTTTTGGAGAAATAGACCAAATAAACTCAAAGTGTGAACCATTTATGGCCAAAAGCTAATGGGCTATAGTTGGTATGGAGATGACAGCGTTGTGAATGACTCAGGGTCCTCAGTGTCTGTTCTACCTATCCATGAGCGACACTGACTCACGCTGCTACCTGGTGTTCACGAGGTATTTGTTGCGCTGGAAACACAGCGTCTCTGTCAGCCTACTCAAGCTCAACTGACGAGGGGTGAGCTCCCAGAAACACTGTGTATTGAGCAAGGAGTGGTGCTTTCTTGCCGAGTGGAAGGTTCGATGGACTTCTCGTGTGCTGTGGATGACAGTCAGGAAGCAGTCAAGTGTCAAGTCAGGTCAGCGGGAAAAAGCGCGAGCTCCAGTGTGGGGAACAAATAGCTTCCTATAATATTATAGAACTATTGCCGAGGTCGCTACCACTATTTCGGACTTCAAACTCCACGAAAAAAGACTCGGGAGTCAACTATCCAATTCTACTTCTTCCAGTACTTTTGGAGTTGAACTGAACAGAACGAAAAGTGTGATCTTGGATTCAATCGAAATATGGCGGTCTGAGAGGGACAGACACATTCACGTACCCGTCAACTGCATGCTTTTCGCCGGGAAACATATTTCGAGATGCGGGAATACAATCGAGCAGGGCTCTTTGGAAGGTAGTCCTCAATTATTTATCACCAAAAGCTTGCTTCCTTGTCTATTTCTGGGTACGCCTCGCTATAATAGAGAGACAGGAAGAGAGAGAGAGAGAGAGAGAGAGAGAGAGAGAGAGAGAGAGAGAGAGATGGATGCACCACATACCTATTTGACAGGTCTTCATCCATAGCAGAGGATGACGCACTCGTTTTCACTGCTGACCAGTTGTCATCCCAAGACGGTATGTTTCCAAACTGCTCTATCCGAGCTTCACAACAGGTCTTGAACTGATCCTCCTCTGATGTTTGCACAGCAGTGACCAGGTCAAAGTCGAGTGCAGCAGCTTCGTCGTACGGTGCAGATACTGAAGGCTCAGCAAACCCAAGCTCTTCTTCATCAAAGCCAAAGCTGTCAGCAAACTCCGTGCTGAGCTGCTCTGATTGGTAATTGAGGAAAGCTTGGTGAATGCTGTCCGTTGTACTGCTGCTTGGCTCCATTAGAATCTCATCTGGATCATCATCCATCATCTGTTGCCCGCCGAGTAGGGCATTGTTACGCTCATTAGCCGTTGCCAGACCGCCGTCAACCCACTCTTTCCAAAGGCAGTTCTCCTGCTCGTCGCACACATCCTTGACGGCGGCCGCGACTCGCTCATCACTCTCCATCGTGCTGGTAATGGTGTTGCACATGCTCACTATGTGGCCCATGTAGCCTCGCCGCCGACCACCCGGTGCACCCTGCTCACGATCATTGTCAATACCGGCTTGAGCAAGCTTCTCGGTAAGCTGGTACGATGACAGCAGCCCAAGACCAATAGAGTTTGCCTTCTCGGCCTGCGAGCCAGTAGAGTCCATTGTGCTCATAGATGTTGTTCCAGAAGACGAGGACGCTCCTGCCGTAGCTGTCTTATTAGTGAAAGCGAACACCACCAGCTGCTCCACTTGTGTGTGGAGGAAATTGTTCCACATGTACTGAAAGAACAGATCCAATAGCGTTGGTCCAATGTTAAGACGTATGAATTCCTCCATGAACTCAGGCACATTACTTTGTAAGCAAAGCAGAAGGAGCTGAATTATGCCCAAGCGAGCTGGACCAACAGGTACGGCTATTGTTCCGACCGTGGTCACAACTGGTCTACTCGTCGGCGGCTCTAGTAAAAGCCGATGAAACGCAGATAGCCACGGTGTGAGACTGGCCACAACCTGGCGCGCCGCTTCCTCATTGGCTACGCCAGGTACGTCAACCTGGGACTGGTCTGTCAGGCCTTGCTGCAATGTCAGCATGGATTGGAGTACATGCACACCACGGATGGTGGGCGATGCCGTTTCAGCACTCTCTGTCAGGATGTTATTCAGCAGGCGCTGTATGGTATCGTCGTGCTCCAAAATATCCAGAAGCGGGTCAGACTGTAGGACATCAGAGGTCCGTCCCAGGTGGTCGTAGCACATGCGAACCAGCTCTGACAGGGCCCGGGCGGCGTTTCGCTGCTTGTCCTCATCCACTGATGGGTGTACCAGGTCAACGAGTGACCTTACCAGTTGGGCATCTCGAAACCATTGTACAAGGTCTCTTCGCAGAGGCGCCGAGTCACAAGCCGACACCATTCCCAGTATTAAGTCCATTATGGCTGACGTATCAATGTGACCTAGTAGCTGACGGAGTGCTCCATCTCTGCTACTCATATACTCCATCATCACTACAGCTTTCCTCTGCAGCAGTGAGAGCAGAACTCTAGAGAAGAAGCTAGCTAACAAAGGGTTCAGAGGAGCATCCTGATCCAGAAATGTCCAGAGTTTGTCCAGGAGGCTTTCATCCGCCACAATGCTGTCAGCTAGAGCGTTGGCAGAGCTCTGCTCCAACGAAAACAGGTTACACGCAACATGGGGATGCTTGTATCGAACACTCTCTTCTAAATCATCCGGTGGCTCCTCAATTACTAGAGTTATTATCTCACTGAGAATATCACCACGCGTAAGAAAGTCAAGTAGAGCTCTATTCGATCGTAGCTCATCTACTACATTTTCTTCATCAAGAACTTCCTCTAAAGTACAGCTGTCTGAAGCCAATAAATCGTCCAGTGCAGACGGAGCCTGCATTCGCATTTTCCAAAACATTTTGACGATAAATCATGGGCGTCGGCAGCCGAAGAACTAAGTGAAGAGAACAAACCACCATCAGTAGCTGCAGCAGTCCTCATACATCCAAGCTGCATATCCCAACTCGAGCTACGCATAGACGAACATTCAACTGGCCTCCTTTTGCCATCACACCTCCACAGCACAAATAGAAGAATTTGTCAATACTCCAAACGAAAGCTCTGCAGGAAACATTTCGCTGCAATGTCTTCAAAAGCTGCTGGCAGATTTTCATGCAGTGTCAGATGTGCCCCACACAGACAGTAGATCTACATGTACACACAGTACATATGCCAGCTTGCAAACAAAGCCAACAAACGACGTGAACACTGTGTCTGTACTACAATGTACACGTACGTACAGACAGTACAGGCAACGATGGGCCTTCGCTCATTCGCTCACGCCTTCAAACGGTCGGGGATGTGCCGCCATTTTTTCTGTAGGTAAGGAAACCCAAGCGCATGCGTGCGTGGGCCATGGGGTCACCTGGCCAGATCGCGTGCTACCGATTCCCGTGTTGATAGCTAGCCGCTGTACGTGCACTGACGTGACATTGACAAGCTCACGGCTGTTACGGGGAGGTCACTTGGCAAGATGGCGGCGACCTGTAGCAACGCCCCTGGCAACAGAGGTCACACGGAAAGCGTGGGTACGCTCATCGCATTTTTCAAATTTTCATGATCATTTCTGCAGAAAGAAAAGGTTCTGTCACTTCGAATACTTGAAATAGTACTTTTATGGATTTCGTCTCTTCAGTCCCTTGCTCGTCAAAAATGTTGTTGGAGGCAGCTGTGCTCCGCGAAGTGCAACGGATACCGCTCAGTAGCAGATAAAGGAGATGTGCTTCTCAGGACTCTTTCGCAAAATGACAACCTGCGCCTCGGATCGGAGGAGAACTTTTTGTCAAGTTTACTCAATCTCCGGACAGCTATAGCTGTTTCGACCTTGTTACGTCTCATCAGCGGAGTTCACAGTGTGTGGCCGAACAGATCAGCAAGAATTAGTTTCAACCCTGTTACAGTGTTAGGTCTCATCAGCGGAGCTCAGAGTGTGTGGCCGAACAGATCAGCAAGAATTAATTTCGACCTTGTTAGGTCTCATCAGCGGAGCTCAGAGTGTGTGGCCGAACAGATCAGCAAGAATTAATTTCGACCTTGTTAGGTCTCATCAGCGGAGCTCAGAGTGTGTGGCCGAACAGATCAGCAAGAATTAATTTCAACCTTGTTAGGTCTCATCAGAGGAGCTCAGAGTGTGTGGCCGAACAGATCAGCAAGAATTAATTTCAACCTTGTTAGGTCTCATCAGAGGAGCTCAGAGTGTGTGGCCGAACAGGTCAGCAAGAATTAATTTCAACCCTGTACAAGGAAGGACATGGCACTCGAGAAGGTGAAGCTTAGGAGTCACATTGCCTAACTTGCGTGCCAGAACCTCCGCTCTGCAGGTGGCCATGAAGGTGTGGATGGCATCACCCAGAACCTGCCTTGTTGCTGTTGTAAAAACCAGCTTGCCGCTGAACAGCTTGCGACATGCTGCATACATACTCTGTGAAGAGTCTCGAGTAGCGATCTCTCAAGGACTTTGCCTGGCCAAGCAGCTGAACCTCGCCGCTGTCCGCAGGTGTGCGGCTCTGCACGACTGTAAGGGGAACAGAAGTGAGGGCAGCAATGACATCCGGTTTCAACGCACGGTGTATGTGGTTGACGACAAATGCTCCTGAGTGATATGCTTGCCGCTTTATTTGGTACTGTGGCAGTACTGCTTCCAAGGAAGTTACGCACGGGCCAGCTGCTTTTTTTAAATCTTTTACTGTTAATTTCTCATGCTCTTTTCGAGCCACATCACCTCTCATTCATCAAATTGAGTTCCTTTTCATTCTCCTTCCATAGGAAGTGCAGATTTGATGCCACAGTCTGCAAGCCAGCAGCCACTACTTCCTGCTGCTGAATGTGCAGCGTCACACACTGCAGCTGCCTAAGAATGCTTTGTGCTTCTAACTGTAGGTGTAGTTGTTGTGTTGCTGTGCCGTGTACGTTCTTGTAGGCATTGATTAGTGCTGTAAACGCTGCAGAGTCACCGTCATCTGCAGCAAGAAACATACATTTGCTCAGTGCAATATCGATTTGATGTGCGTCAGCACAAAGTGCACCGTAAATCCAGGGATAAATCCCTAGATCTAGGTGGAGCACAGGAATACACACGTCTTGCAGCTCAACAGGAAGAATGGCTTTTCTAATCACGTTGTTGTACCGCCGTGCGTGCTGCAAGTTGGCACCTGCTGCAACGAACTCTGTATTTAAAGCGTTCCGGCAGCAAGTCAGCAATTGCTTTGTATGGCGGTGATGCAATGTCGTACAGTTTCATCAGGGGAATATCCATGCCAATTGTTGCATCGTCTAAATGCAGACTGGATGAGGCTGGAGCTACATGCATATTCATATGCATGAGTTTTTTGGTCACCACACAACACATTAATACTCAACACAAATTCAATGGCTTTCGCATGATCTCTCACAAGGTGCTGAGTTCCACGGCTAGTACTACACAACTTTTCACCGCCTAACCTGCATACCAGCTGTAACTTTTCTTGGTGTTTTTTCCATTTCAAATCCACTGAATAAATTACAATTTCCACTAAATGTTGCTAGAGATTTGGACCCAGCGGGGCCAACAAGGAATCAGCGGGGCCCCAGCAGTAACAAAAAACAGCTACACAGATACTCTTCTCCTCGGCAAAACTACCCTTGACGTGACGAAAACTCGTTGAGCATCTCAAGGAGGCAACAAACTTCGGTGACTAGAACGATCGAACGGCAACAACTTCAAAGACAAATTTCCATGAAGAATGGCTTTTCTCAGCGAAGGAAAGCTCAAATTCACTACATTTTTCTTTGGCGAAGCTTGGTCAGGATGTTGCGCAACTGTAGCCGCGAGGACAGCTCGACGCGGTGATCAGAAGTGGTAATTTGGAGACCCAACTGAGCAGAGATTGCGTTCAAAATACACCTCCTTGAGTACAAATTTTGAACGTTGAGAACGGGAAAGTCCCGGGAAGCGCCATCTCCTATACAAAAACCAAGTGGGCCCGTTTTGTACTGTCGTAACAGCCGTGAAGCTGTGCATGTACATGTGCGGGACAGCGAAGTCAGAAAAAAACATTTGCCCCCACTCTCGATCTCGTCTCGATCTCTCATTCACGGTGGAAGATGGAAGAGCTTAGCGTAGTGTACACATGAGCAAGAAGAAGGGCATGCCACCTCACACAGCACCTGTGACCGTGTTCAACAGTTCAACAAGGTCAAAAGGTTTGCTGGCAAGAGCTGAACCAGCCAACAAAACACAACATCCGCGCCAAGCTAGATGTACGAACATTATCCATATAAAAATCGCTCTGTGAGCGGTTCTGAAAAACCTTTACTGGTACTGCCCCGTCGTAAAACTAAAAGTAAGAAATTAGAACTGGCCCATTGTCCCCCCAAATGTGAACTGATCCACCTAAATCGCGAATGACGGGACCCGAACGCACCAGTAGCACGAGGTCGGGAGGGCACAGGATCACGGCAATTATCATAGGGTAACACCAGTAGTAGCAGTAGAATTTATTATTTTGATAGGGAAGCCTACCGCTAGTACAGTACATGGCCTATGGTCCGGACCAACGTCCCCATCTGCATCCACAGGTAGGAACCTCGTGCTACTGGTGCGTTCGGGTCCCGTCATTCGCGATTTAGGTGGATCAGTTCACATTTGGGGGGACAATGGGCCAGTTCTAATTTCTTACTTTTACGACGGGGCAGTACCAGTAAAGGTTTTTCAGAACCGCTCACAGAGCGATTTTTATATGGATAATTTCAGGTCTTTTTCCGTTCCCTCCCCACCCCAACCCCGAAGGTAAACATGATGACCACGCGCGCGATGTACTGTATGTAGCCATGCGACTGCAATAACACACTGATACATACCAGCCCTCCCCGCCTCGCTACCCCGCACACAGATACACAAACATGTGTATGCACACGGCACACACACGTGGCCACGCACACATACGCACATGCACACGACACAAACAGGAAATTCTTCATGTATAATGCCATGCAAAGCAGTGGCCACCGTACTTGAGGAAGTCAGTTGTGAAACAAAAATAATTCAACTACAGCGTGTAGACAAGCTGACGGCCAAAGCACAACATAGCAAACATGACATTTTCCCAAGGATTGCAGTTTGCAGACCATGCCATGGAAGCAGCGAATACAGAATGTAATATCATACAAAGTGACAAGCAAGGACGTGGCCATCATACACCAGAAACTTGCAGAAAGTCACATATCCCTGAGATAGAGAAGTGAACAGCAATCTGATACAGCCCACACAGGACAAAGCGGACCTGATACTCGTCCCAGGATCGCAAGTGGCAAACCCTTTTCAATGCATAACATGCAGGTGTACGTTAGACGCATGAACATCTGACCGTGTCGCCAGCATACAATGTCATCACATGTTTACCCCACAAGTTACACACATGCACAGTAGAAGCACAATGAAAGCATTGGAAAAGTACGATGTGGTTGCTGAAGCATCTTCCCACTTCAAATTCAGACTTCAATGTGGTCGTCACGGGATGATATACCTGCAAGATACAAGTGATGAAGAAAGAAAGCAGAAGGTCGTGAGGTAGGCTATGAGACACCACAAACGGTTCACCTACATGTCTGTTCAGGGCTAGTGCACTCACACGGAGAATTGTCATAATCGAGCATTTCCCAAACTGAGAAGTGCAATGAAATCCACTTGCATGCACAGGAGCAATTTTGCAATATTATGATGCGCAATTCGACACGATCTGCGGTGCTGCGTGCGATGTGCCCTGCTGTCATGATAGTGACAGGCACCGCAGTATGTTTTGTCAACGTCGCCCGTGCACTCTTCTGTCAAGTCCAAAGTGCTCACATACTTGGCAATGTTTTTGCAGTGATTAACTTTTATCCTAGTTATGTCACGGGTAACTTTAATGAAGTACCCGCAGGCCGTGTCGATCTGCACATCGTCCACTCTCTCATGTACTTGGCCTGCTTTGTCTGTGTCACATGATCCATTTCATGTGCGATCCACAAAATCGACTAGACAGTGGGTGCAATACGCTCTCTACCTGAAGACGTTCTTCTGGCGACATCTCGCCATGTACTTGGCCTGGCTTTGCCTGTGTATCCATTTCATGTTCGATCAACAAAATCTCAATGCACTACAGAGACTAGACAGTGGGTGCAATACGCTCTCTATCTGAAGACGTGAACCATTAAATTTTTTGGAAAAGTTATACGTACACCTGAAACGTAATGAAGTACAGGAATAGAGAGAGTGACTACAATACGCTCTCGACCTGATATAGTGATAACGTGAGTACAAGACACCCTCCACCTGATAACGTGTTAGAAGGTAACATGTCTACAGTCCCACCGTACCCTTCCGACACGACTGTAGACCATTAAATTTTTTTGAGAAGTTATACGTACACCTTCAGTGTCTGCTCCAGCGCCGGGTGAGCCGGGTAATCCACCCGGTTGGGCGGCGCTTGGACCCGGTTGAAAATATAGTACCGGGTCACCTGTGACCCGGTTGGTACTTTACACTTTCGAACTTTGAAAGGACTGACTACATGGCTTGTATGTGTCAGATACTTCTTCTTCTTTCGTAATTTTCTAATTCCTGTCCTCTCTTTTCTAAATGCGGCTTATCCATTCGCCTTTAGATCATTGGGCGTACATGTGTACCGGGCTCCCACCCGGTTGAAATGGTTGCGCCAGGTACACGTGTACCCGGCTGTCCTACAATCCTGGAGCAGACACTGACCTTAAACGTAATGAAGTACAGGAATAGAGAGAGTGACTACAATACGCTCTCGACCTGATAACGTGAGTACAAGACACCCTCCACCTGATAACGTGTTAGTAGAAGGTAACAGGTCTACAGTCCCACCGTACCCTTCATCATTCCTCATTCACCATCGCGCGATACCCTGGCACACACTGGCAACATATCAATGGGGTGCCTTACCGTCGTCTAGAGGAGACGTCTTCGCAGCAATATTTTCCCTCCTGCGCATTCAGTCGCCGACGCGACAGCGTTCACGGGGCCGTTCCAGTTGCGGAAGACATTCGATTCATCGGGCCAATTCAGCAACAGGGCCGTGGACACACAGGGGGCAGAGGAGAGACATTGTTAGTGGACAAGAAATATGCAGTGGCAAGTGGCGAGTGCCGCATGGATGTCAAGTTGTCATGCACAATTCAGCTATTACTTACGGTCCAGCTAGTCCTGCCATTGCTCGCTCGTCCTGGTTCCTCCTCGTTCGTCTTCCTGCACGTCTGCACTTCTCCTTCCCCACCGTTGGCTTTGCGGTACAGGGGTGCCGGAAGGAATTCCCACCATGTATCCATGTACATGAAGTCCCACCATGACTCTCCATGTACATGTCCACGGCCACGTCAGCAGTTTGTATAGTACCGGAAGGAGTTCCCACGATGTCTCCAAAGGCCTAGAGCGGACGTCTTTGCAGCAATTCTTTTCGCCCTGCGCATTCAGTTCGCCGACGATGTCTCCAAAGGCAAAGGCCTAGAGCCTAGTAGAGAGGACGTCTTTGCAGCAATTCTTTTCACCCTAGTACCCTAGCACATTCACTCCGCCGACACGACAGCGTTTACGGGGCCGTTCCAGGTGCAAAAGGTCCACGTCAGCAGTTCTCAACTATTTCGCGTACGGGATAGTCGCCGCGACAGCGTTTAAGGGGTCGTTCCAGGTCCAAAAGGTATCCATCAATGGCACTTTGCAGTATGGGGTACGGAAAAGGGGCCTCCTCGTTCGACTTCGTCGACTTCTGCAGTTCTCCTTCCCGTCAGGGGTACCGAAAGGGGCCTCCTCGCAGTTGTCCTTGCCGTCAGGTCCACGTCATGCAATTCTCAACTATTTCGCGTACGGGATAGTCGTCTTTGTCGTACGCGACATCGGCGTTTACCGAGTGGCATTGGCACAAAGCAGACCGTTGACGGGGTCACGTGTCAAAAAAGTATCAACAACGTGTCGACTAAGTGTCGACCACGTGTATAGCGGTACACTCAGCGGTACACTAATTCTCGTGCCATTCTCGTGTCACAAAACTGGAACATCGAGTACCAGTATGGAAAGGCTTCAGACAGGAAGCCTTTCCAATTTGGAGATCCAGGCTGTCACGACCCGGAACCAGGATCGGACGGGAAAGTCCAAATTAATGATCAAGACTTGACCAGAGTCCATAAACACTTTATCAGTGTTGTGACTCTTGAGTCTTGATAGAATGGGCATCAGATTTGCAAGATGAATCATGAACCTCCAGTCTGCAGCTACTAGTACTAGTAGTAGTAGTAGCTGCTAGCTGCATGCACAAGCTGGGTGTTATAATATAAAAGCTTGTCATTTTCTAGCATTTCTGTCATAATCTTCACTTCAGCCACTGCACTGCTAGCTAGCTGCACGCGTAGAGCTTTCGTCTCAAGCAGATCAGTGCCGTGGCCGTTACCAGGTTACGTGGGGAGCTAGCTGGCCCCGCGGTTGCTTTTCTTGTTTTCAAATAAATTAAATTTTGTGTTCTTTTATTTTTGTACTGTAATGTTGGCTTTCGCTGGACTTGGTCGTGCAGCGACGAGAGCTGCACCACGAACAAATAGACTCCCGTCACAAATAGTCCACAGAATCGCACAGCGCTCCTGCGTCGACATGTCTGATACATTGTTTGAAGACATCGGGATTCTGGTGTCCGGTGCGAACTTAGGAATTGGCTCACCTGGCCCAAAAGAGTTGGCCACGTGCAATCAACTGTTTGCAGAAGCCACGCAATTCAGAATAAGCAAGGAGGACTCGACAAGCTTGTTTTCTTACGGACCCAGAAGTGGGCATCCTGGGTTCCGGGCTCAGTTGGCCAGCTTCCTGAGTAAACATTATGGTGATGCTGTGGACCCTGACGACTTGATGCCCACTGGAGGGGCTAGTCAGGGCTTGACCTTGCTGACTAACTACTACTTTAGCTCAGGAGATGTAGTGTTTGTCGAGGATGCTTCATATTTCCTGGCCCTCACCTTCTTCAAGAATGACTGTAACATGAAGATCATATCGGTGCCGACCGACGATGGTGGTATCATTCCTGCAGAATTTGAAAGCCTGGTCACGCAGCACAGCAAGGACTTCCGAGCCGTAACGGATAACAAGCCTTTCAAGGCCATGCTTTACACAATCTCGACGTACCAAAATCCGACGGGCCGTTCACTGGATGCACAGCGTTGCAACGACATCCTGCGCGTTGCTAAGGCCAACGACTTGCTCGTGCTCAGCGAGGATGTCTACAACCTGTTGCCCTTTTCGCAAAGCTTCCGTGACGGCGACTTCAACTCCAGCTACGTGCCGGCCACCGAGGAGAAGGTGGACCCGTCTCCACTGCGCATGTACCACTATGACCGACTGGCCAATAGCGGCAATCCTGGTTACGGGAACGTCGTGTCCAACTGCACGTTCAGTAAGATCCTGGCACCGGGCTCGCGTCTCGGCTGGATGGAAGGATCTAAGCACGTGCTTGACCCGGTGCGCCGCAGCTCCTTTGTGCAGAGCGGCGGGGCTATTCAACACTTCATGGCTGGCATTGGCGAAGCACTGCTGGAGCTCGGTTTGCAGGAGAAGCAGCTGGCACATTGCCGGCAAGCTTTTGAGAACCGTGCCAAGGCGCTGTGCCGAGGATTCCGCGCGCACTTGCCGTCGGAAGTTGTTTGGAAGCCACCCCATGGTGGCTACTTCATGTGGCTACGCCTGCCCGACAATGTTAGTGGCATGGACGTCAGGAAAGCGGCGTTGAAAGAGAACATCTCGCTGACGCACGGCGAAGCGTTTTCCCTTGAGGGTAAGTTCAAGAATTACATCCGCGTTTGCTACACGTACGAAGAAGAAGACACACTGGAGAAGGCTGGCGAGACCATCGGCCGCATCATCAAAGATCTGATGTGAAGCAGCCGCCGAATGCAGTCTGCAGTGAGTGCTACTCTATACTCATTTACAGTACAATCATGTACATTGGCACAGCTAGGAGCAAAACAACACAGCACATGCCTGCCTCCGACCGTAGCATGCCTCTCACTGCACCGCCGTTAGGATGCCTGGATGTTACTTCTGTTGGCGAATACACGCTCCATGTACTATCGGCGTCATAGCTGATGACGCACTGACGTGCATTTGCTTGCCTCCCCGCTTATTGTAGCATGCCCAATCTGGTTGTTTCAGAGTTTTGAAAACTCCGTAGACATTGCACATAGGTCATGCTGCGACTTGTCATCTCACTTTTTTTCAGATCTCTTGTTATGAATTTTAGTGGGCCTTTTCTTTACTGTACTCGTTGTGTGTGCAGTAAACATCACCCATACCAGTAGATGCCCGTAAAGTGAGGCCGTTAGTTCACTGTAGACTACCCGAGGCTGTGCTTCAAATGTTTATCTTGCCACTCGCTCAGCCTGCAGTGCAGGAATGTTTGTGGCTTTCTTTTGTTTTAGACTGGCTATAGTCACTGTCTTGTTAAGTTTTAAGCTATTTTTGCGTGGCGTTCATTTGTTCGCCCCGGCCCATCCTGCTCTTCTCCTCCAGTGTTCTGGTGTAGTGCCTCTTTTCAACTGTTTCTGCATGGGTCTGTTTGCGTCTAAAAAATGCGGCACAGTGTTACCCCTCTACAGTCCATTCATAAAAAGATGGGCTCTGGCTCTGGCGAGCTCCCGTATTTGGCGATTTTTCGTGATTTCATCGTACACAGTGCAGTGCTGCGAAATTTGAAATTTGAAAAAGGGTCCAAAAAGGGTACCTGAACTGGGGTTCAAACCGCACAATGCACGTAAAAAAGTACGGGGGCCAGGGTTGAGAAATGTGAAGTTTCGTTTCCACTGAGAGCGCACAACAAAAGATGTACTTTATCTTGTAGCCCCAGTCGTGTAGAGTCGCCTGATATATTTTTCACCACTGGAATCGGGATGGAACGGTGTGGAATTGGCATTTGAAAGTTTCCCATGGGTTGCCATAGCAACCGCATAGCAACAGTATGGCAACAGCGTGTTTTTCATGTTATTTTCTTCCACAGAAGGTCCAAATTTGTTGAGAGGTACATACTATGTATGTACTCGTGTCAACTGGCACTACTACTAGTAAAACAGACATGTACATGGAGTATCATGCACATCGTGCACTCTATTGTATCAATACGAATAGTCATAATTATAGAGTCATGTACATGTACATGTACTACAGCATTGTATACAGTACATGTATCATATCAGAATACAGTGTACTGGTATGAAGGAAGCAGCTGACTATTTCACCACATGCAGAGATAAAGCATACTTTATTCCACAGGGTACTTGTACATGAACAATCATGCCTTCCAGCACAGGAAGTCAGTCATAAGTATGTACAAAGCATGTACATGCACATGCACATTGGTTACGATTCCAGCAGGCATGCGCATTAAAGTAGACAGAAGGCCAGTTTCGATGGCCCACTAGAACATGACATAATATATTTCATCGATAATAATGTGTACAAGAGCATGGACATTACAGATGCTGTCATCAAGTTTGACTTCAAGTCGACTCCGGCGAACCACAGAGCGGAATTCTTGGGGTCTCTGCAACACGATGTCGACAGCCTTGGCATAAATTGCTTGATCCAGAACTACCATCGTGAATGGAAGATCAGCCTGCCTTGCCATAGTAATGGAGCGGCATAGTAGGGTATAGACAGTGAGGTTCTATGTTGGCGATGCATTGATCACCGGACAGTAACCAATCTCCGACTTAGAAGGCACATTGTTCTTCGTCGCGAGAGAATTGAATGCTGTCCACGCCGGTATGCTCTGAGACTTGCCATCAGCTGCAGCTCCAATCTCAATGACTGCACGAGGCTTGCTGATCTGTCCATCTGGGCAGAACCGGGAGAGCTTCCAGACAAAGTCCATCAATGCAGCACCAGAGCGGGTGTCAGCAGCATAGGCGTATGATGGGAGGTGGATTTTGTCTTGCAGGCATTGCAAACACAGGCTGAATCTCCGGGACCATTGTCAATGAGCGCTTTCGCTTCGACGTTGACAGTGTAGGCATAGAGATGGAAGTCCCTTCACTTGCTACCGATTCATCCTGCATAGAAGGCTGTACAACGATACCATTTGTACAGTGCGTAGTCGCAAGTCCGCTCAGTGTCTCCTCGCAGGGGTCATTGTTATCTCACACGAAATGGTACGGCTTGCGAGTGTCGATGGCGGCAGGCAAGAAAGACTTATTGTGCTGATGGCGTGTAAAAGACTCTGCCAAGCAAGTCTCCAGCTCCAGTACCTGGCTGTAGCTACAGCAATAGCCAAGACGATTCAACATGGTAACTATCTGCTTACTGCGGCACAGGTGATGGATTGCCATGCCCAGCACAATGTGTTTCGGAGTGCGGTAACCAGTGCCGCAAAACATAAGATCCTGGCAGATGGCATGGATACGGCGTTGCAGAACACTCTCAAGAGACGGCAAGCGGCACGTCGAGAATTCGGCATCCTTGTCCAGGGTCCATGCAAGAAAATTAAAGAGCTTGTCAGGCATCAATCGCGCGCTCTCCTCAAGAGACAGCCGTGCACCGCTCAGTTCTTGCTTCGTGGACTTGACATGGTGCTCGATGGATTGGCGGAGGATGTTTGCTGCATGATATAAGACTCTCCATTCCTCACACTCATTGGTCCAGACATGGCTACTCTCCACTTTGGCAAACTCATCCTCAGACTCCTCCCCAGACTCACTGCAATAAGGATCGACGGGCACTAGGGGTTCATCTTCTGCAACTTCCTCCTTCAGCAGTGCAAACTGTCTGATCAAGTTGTCAGTCGAGCTAACAGCACACAACAATTCAGGGGCGTTGCAGCGAGCTGGCCTGACAAACCTAACAACGCCATCAAACTCTTTCAAAATGATGCTCTTCAGTTTTCGATTTCTGACCTGAGTGCAGAAGTTGCCACTTTCCTTGTTACAGCAGGTCTGGAAGATGGACTGGAGATCAGCAGAGGTCAGCAGTGCAGAATTGTCAAACAATTCTTGACGCACGACCTCAAGAAACTGGGCAACTACTTGTTCCTCCGAAGGAGCCTGTCCACCAATTCCCTGAGGGTCGTCACCAGGATCCTCGACCTCCAATAGTCTGGTGTACTCTCGGAAGCAGTGCCGATGGTAGTGAACTTCACGTGCTATGAGGCAAGACAGAGAACCAATAGCTATTACAATAGCCTCGTCTTTCCGCAACTTAGCTGCGTCTAGCACTTTCTGGGCAGCGTTGTGTGACTGGCACTGAGAAGTTTTCTGATACTTGTGCTTCTTTCCCAGCTGAAATTTCTGACAGAATATGCACTCCTTTCGCCCTGGCTCTACAACTGGTACAGATAGACTTTGCCGAGTGGTCCGCTGGGGACAATCTGCCTGTGACATCGACTTTCCAGAACCTCACCACCCGAAAACAAACTACTTACTATTATGCGTGAGAGTACAAAAAGGCAAAAACGGAGAAGAAGCGCAGTAGTAGTACGTGAATCGACACATCCGAGTTCACTTTTGAAACTTGACACTCCACGTGGACCGCTGAGCACGTGAGGTGTGAGACTAGACTCTGTACGCGTGTTTCGCGCAGCGCAGACTATGCTCAGTTCGCCGTACAATGGACGGGGACAGTCCCGTGAGGAAAACTTACCGTTGCGTGGCTGCTCGCGCGGAGAAGAAACTCAGCGCAAGAGACAAGCGGCAATGGCTGAACAGGTGCGAGAAAAGTTACTCGATGGAGGCCTTCCATTCGCATTTTGAAGCATTTTTTTGTGGATTCCGTGTCAGGAAGGCCACTGCTTTCATTATCTGCAGTCAAATTGTTGTGCGGACGAAGTGGAAACGAAAGTTTTTTTCAGCCACTTTTTTGATGCCTGGCCCCCGTACTATAACGTTTGCAGGCGGGGTCAAACGGCCTGGATTTTTATGGTTTTTCCCAGGGAGTCGTAAAATACAAGGTATTTTACGACTCCCTGGTTTTTCCCAATTCAGTGCTGTTGGGGCAAAACCTGGCCGAAATTCTATTCTTGTTATGGCTTGCTTTTTGGACAAAAAAACTTCAGAAACATAATTGGAAGAGGATTCCATAGGGGATTGCAGAAAAAAATTCTAAAAAAACTCAAAGTTTGACCCATTTATGGCCAAAAGCTAGAAGTCCATCTTTTTCGAAACTCACACGTTTGCAAGGGTTTCCATGGTCAGTTGAGTCAATGAGCGTAGCTGCGCCTGGGGGCGAGCATTGTATGGGATTCTCAACCTCCGTCATTTCCCTGAAGTGGCAACAGCAACCAGAAAATGAAAACGGCCCACTCACTGGCCTGGCGCACGGACTGCTTACACTGTATAGTATGGTTACTGCAAGGCGCTGTATAAATCGAGGTTTACATGACTCCCAGTGTATGGGCTTCAGCTAGGGGGTTGTACTGTACAGACCCATACAACTCCCTGGCTGAAGCCAAGTTCAGGCACACTTCAACGGGCCAGTGTGTTATTACTTACATACTTTTTAAGTAGATCGTTCACTTGGCATAAATACTCTGGCTATTTTAAACACTTGGAGTAACAAGAGATGCTCGGGTAGAACAATATAAGAATAAAAAGCATGTGAAAAAGCCACAAATTCGGAAGAATCTCAGCAAGACCAGTTCTCTCAAGGGAAATTAAATTAGCGTACTTAAAAACAACACCCTACAATATTCGGCACACTCCTTCTCCATTGCTAGATAGGTATGGAGTTTGTGTACTTGTGCGTGCGTGCGTGTGTGTGTGCGTGAGAGAGAAAAAAAAGAGGGGAGTAGCAGACAGCGATGACAAGAACATAATATTTATATTTAAAAACCTGCAGCCTTGTGCTTACTTGCTGCATGAGAGACCAGAACAGTGTGTCTACTGGAGTAAAACATATCTTGGCATTACTAGCAGTATAATAGAAAGTAAGACTTCCCATCAGAGAGTGATCACCACTTGCAAGGCGGATAATAGGAACGGTACTGGCAACATCTTTTCAAATCTTGGGGAGGGAGGGAGGCGAGCACCTAATAAATCAGACTTTTGTGTTGGCAACTGGACAACATAATTGAATACAGACTTGGCACACAATGCAGCATTCCCTGATGATAGAGGAGTTGCAACTAATCGAATAAAATAAAAAAATAATCAGACTCCGTGTCTGTCCTAAGACACCTGGTTCTTTTTTAGGAGAAGACGTGAAACGCACTGTCAGCGAAGTAGCGAGGCAGCTCACAGGACGGTTTACAAGGAGAGCTCGTGAAAGGTTGCTAGTCCTGTGAGCGGAATGGTCTACACCTGCGACTGCCATGTGGACTGCAGAGCTCTTCGAGGAGGGGTAACCGATAATAGACCGCAACCGTGCAGAAGATGATGCGGCGCTGGGAGAAGCAAAAGTATGGACCACCGCAGTTAGTGCACCATTTCACATCCTCCAGCATGTCTGCAACATTTATTGAAAACACACATACATGCACACACATGAGAGTACACAAAAATAAGATGGTTAGAGGCAGAGGAACACACGTGAGCGCACACACACACACATAGATAGATAAATACTAGTAGAAAGAGAGAGAGAGAGAGAGAGAGAGAGAGAGAGAGAGAGAGAGAGAGAGAGACAAACACACACACACACACACACACACATACACACACACACACACACACACACACACACACACAGAGTAAGCCAGGCACAGGTCGGCAGCCTCGCAATTAGCAAACACATTCAGTAATCAGGCATGTATGGCCAAAGCCCATCGGGAAACCATGTGCTGTCATGTTGAACATGGGCAGGAAGGTAAGAATGGGCACTCTGTGCTTCACGTCAAGGCTTGATATTATAGTGCATGTCAGCGATTCTTGCACTACAAATGCTGCACAAACAGGCACAAGCACAATTTATCTTCCACCCACCCTGGGTTATTCATAGCAACCCTATTCTTAAAAGGCTGATGAATGGGGAATATGTGACCGCTTCATGATCTAAGACATGCTAAACCAACAGAGAACCACTGGGCCATTTGCACTGAACAGACACACACACACCATGTACCACACACATATGCAGCTGGCTAGCTTACCCAGGAGCAGTGATGGCAGCTCTCCCCTCTTCGGTGGCGCTAGCCTCTTCGTCATAGCACGTGCTGCAAGCTCTTGAAGGCTGGGGAAGGGATCGACTGGCTTGAAGTCCAGTTTACGAAGAGCAACCTTGCTCCAGTTGGTCAGGAATGGATTGCCGCTACCTGCCACACAATACATGGGCATACGGGTATAGAACAGGGGAGACTGAGTGACAGCCAATGCAGTCGTGGTATACTATTATTATAGTCATCGAAACTCAGACAGCATCTTCTACAGTGGAAATGCTCCTCTTGCATCCAGTAACAGCAACTGTCTATGGCCCACAAAGATCGGAGTATGGAGCAAACCCGCCATTGCTATGCCAATCGAGTCACCAACAAATAACGCCCTGAACAAGGAGAAGTGCTATGACAATCTGGACTGTGAGTGGCAACAGAGGTAGAACATGTAACCACGCCGCACCACCACACATGTTCTCACTCACTGGTTAGGGTATAAAGCCGAAGTCGATGTAATGACAGCGGCAAATAGCGGAGCTCGTTGTCCTGGATATGCAGCTCACTTAGGCGAGACAGCCAGCCGATGCGAGTCGGGAGACATTTTAACCTGCACAGAGAAAAGAAGAAAGAGAGAGAGCGAGAGAGAGAGAGAGAGAGAGAGAGAGAGAGAGAGAGAGAGAGAGAGAGAGAGAGAGAGAGAGAGAGAGAGAGAGAGAGAGAGAGAGAGAGAGTACCAACAGCCACTCAAATCACATTGGTGGTGCATCTTGAAACAATCAAATTTCAAATGCTTTGAAGCACATTTATATTATACCATGCAAAATGGCTGCGCGCAATGTCCATAGAGAACAATTACTTCGAAGTATCCACCACCACTTTAAGAATCAAAGGCCTCTTTTACGGGCAAACAGAATACAATTGACAGTGGCATGGCGAATGATTAGAACACAACACCAAAAAATGAAAACAGTTGTATGTGTGAAAAAACGCAAAAAAAACGCAAAACAAAACAAAACAAAAACAGGAAAATACAAGGGCACTCACTGTCCTGCCCACCATCATCTCCAAAACCTCACAGCCGGCCCTCCGAGATTGCCAACTCTCGCAATGCATTCACAGGACGGTGATATGACGATCGGGCACCGCGGATGCACATGATCGCCGACCGCAACAATGCAAACGCCGGTCGACACAGGACATATGTCATTGTCTCGGCATACAACTTCATGTCCCCACTCGAAATGAGGCCACACAGGCGCTTGACAAATCTGGAGCACTCTGGCGCACAACAACCGGCCGTGGTGAAAACTAGTGGAGTAAATGTCCCACGGTCCACACCATTTTAAGGAGAATAATTAAAAGAGTGATTCAGTTCACTCCCAACTGACACACACACACACACCTGTTCTTCGACAACCATACGCGTTCCAGAGCGGTACACTGGACGAAAGACTCGGGCAGAAATGCCAGCTCGTTGTCGCTGAGGTCCAGCTCATTTAGCTGGCGAAGGCTGCCGAACTCTCTGGGCAGGCGGTGCAATCGGTTGTTGCCAATGTACAGCGACTGTTGCAAGACCGGGGTGGGAGACAAACAGACAAGACACATACACGTACATGTACTTGAGCGGACAGACTTGGGACAAGAACAACAACTGATGTACACAGCCGCAGTAGCACAGTCAAACATGTGAGAACAAAATCTAAACCAGTGACTGTTTTCGCATAAGAATTCATCCTGCGCACAGGTCGTCCATAGGCAGTACTACTATTACTAATAGGCGCAGCAGGATGGAGATTGATCAGCACATTACGCCAGAACTTGAGCATTTGGTATGGTAATCATGGTAATTGCTAGCATTCGAGTAGTCAACAGAATACCACGCAGGGGTGCATTATAACGGAGATAGAGGCAGGACAGAGAATTCCGGGTTTCCCCGCCTCAGATAAAGGTTATAATTATTTTGCAATCATTCAGTTCAAAACACCACTCAAGTAGGAGATGCAGTTTGGCCTATTTCAGCCAAGGGCAGAGTAAAAAGATTTTTTTTAGAAACAGAGTACAACTTGGAACAAGGTTGAGAGTTTAACACTAAAGTTCTTGGGTACAAGTAGATAGGCGAACAACGGGCACACTCCCCTGTGTTTGTGTGTGTGTGTGCGCGCGCGCATGCGTGCGTGTGTGTGTGTGGGGGGGGGGGGGGGCAAGGAAGGGTTGCAGAAACTGTTCGAGAGTCCCTTACCAGTAGACTAGTTAGCTCACAGAACCCATCTGGCAGCTCTGTGATATTGTTTGCACTGCGAGTGGACACAACAAAAGAGCATGCAGTATACAAACATACTTGGCTGAGCCACACAAGTTCCACAAGGAAGTACACGAACAATGAATTATGTCAGAACACATCATAGATGTACTGCAGTACGAGTACTAGTGACTAAACCGACGAAGGCATCGTAAAGATATCTGAGCTGCAAGCCATTACACAAGGGAAGCATTGATTCCAAATCCTTTCAAAGCAGGTGAATCTTACTGTAAGCAGAGCTCTTCGAGGAGAGTGAGATGGCGAATGGATTCCGGAATAGCGCGCAGTGCATTGTTGGTCGTGTTCAGGATGATCAGCTGTTCCAAGTTGCCAATGGATTCTGCATGGAGCAATCAAACACCGGTCCATGATGGTCACAAGACCACTTTTGTTTTACTTTTTTTTTTAAAGTACATGTAATGTACTTCAAAGCGGTCGCCAATCGTGGCATGATATCTGACATCTACATGTCCTGGCGAGTTTGAAATGGTCGGATCAAGGCCCGTGAAGGAGAAGTAGAGTTCAAAGCAGACAGAGATCTAGCCAAGGGGGGGGGGGTGTAAACAAAGGGTGTAGAGCTTTCCATGCTCGTCAAGTAGGACATAGCATTGCAGTGCAGTTTATCAGGTCCTGAGGACACATCTACCGTTTGACAATGGTAGCCGCGACGTTCAAGTTCTTTGCATTTTTTAAAATATTGTCTGGAAATGCAGCATGGCATCAGTGAGCCAAGGAATTGCCACGCCCCACACTGTTGGTTATGTACTCTTGTCAGCAGCTACCACCACAGCACCACAGCAGCTACCACCACAGCACCACAGCACCACAGCAGCTACCACCACAGCACCAAAGCACCACAGCACCACAGCAAAGAACCATGCACATTCCATTACTGAACTAATACTTTTCAACATTCATGGCCGAGATTTTACGTAAAACAAAAAAGCAAAAAAACAACAACAGGAAGGCAAGGCAGTCACAAAACCGCACTGGGCACGCAATGGGCATTTTCTTTGCGTTGCCTTACATATGACATGTGACACAAGTGCTAGCTACAGCACACACAGACACAGGCACACACACAAACACAGGCACACACACCCCCACAGACACCCACACCCACAGACACACACACACACACACCTAGACACACCTAGATACACCCACACTTGTACTTGTTGCTCACTGCCAAAACTGGTCACGTGGGTCTCCCCGGGAGAGGGGAGAGAGACTCACACAGACACACACATAGGTGGCCGTCCGTTACCTGGTAGTCTTTTCAGCAGGTTATTTTTGCAGTCCAGCTCTGCCAGCCCAACCAAGGAACAGACCGAATCCTACAGGGACAACGCCGATAGTCAGAATACGTTTTGTAACTTTTGTCAGTCAAAAAGCGCAGACAGAATATTCTCCTGCTAGTACTAGCACGGCCGCTTTTTGCAACTGCACTCCACGCGTATGGTTTGTGCCCATCACAAAAAGTCAGGTCTGTTTAACTCCATTGTGGTCTTAGATTGCTCCTGACTCTTTGTGATGAGCTAAGCGCACCCATACCAAGCAGAGCAGATGCAAAAAGGAACAGATTTCAGTCTGCTGCTTCTGTATTCACCGCGGGCAGCCTTGGCCCTTGCCAAGTAGCCACACCGCCTGCCTATCTAGTGTATGGAGAGAAAGACCATAGAAATAGCACACAGCACACACACACACCAACCAATAAACACAACACCGAGACATACTACAGAGACAAAGGTTATTTTACAGGCAGCCTCTCTAAGAGTAAGACACACGTCCATAGATCACAACAAATGACTGCCAACTGCAGAAATGCGGAAACGGCTGTGGACACATGAACAATCGACAAAATCTGTTTCAGTACCTGTACAAAAAAGCAAAAAAAAACTCACCGGGAGCTCTTCAAGAAGATTATATTGCAGAAATAGCTCTTCAAGGTTGAAAAGGTTACTGATCTCAGACGGTATTGACCTCAGACGATTATTGGACAGATTGAGGCTCGTCTGCACATGCATGCAACACAAAATACACAGAAAGAAACGACTACTATCAACTAATAAGGTTATTTGCGCGCTCACATCGTTTTCGTGCCATCTCGTCAGATGGATACTGGCAAAGAGAAATTGGATTGCAACTGGACAAACACAACATTTTGAAGTTCAACTCAAAGCAAATGTTTGAAGCATGCAGCGAATGAGACAGAGACAACGTCTCTCCCAATAAGGACACCACTATGTAAGGGTATCTAACAACTGCCCAGAATAACAACAACTGATGTTGAACGAACAGCAACTGAGGAAATCTCCAGATTAACCATACCAGACTGCTGCCGATATCTCCGATTCTAGGTGGACACCAACGCAAATGCTGATAGCTGCAGGAAAAATGCCAACACAGGGCAAGAACAACATTACCAGGCTATGAGTGCTGGTTATGTACTGGTTATGTACTGCTTATGTACTGTTGGTACTGGTTAGGGAGTAGTAAAAATACTGGTATTTTACTACTCCCTGTAGGCTGTACTGATAGTACATCTACTAGCAAGATTACAATCATACACTCCCAAGAGTGCACATGGCCGGTCGAGGCAGCAAACTTCACTTACTAGCTAAGAGCAACAGAAGGCGAACTATTCTCTCCACAACGCTTGTCGCAAACCTCATTGAAGCACATTTCCACTGCAGCATAGAAAGAATGCTCTCAGGCCATGCCTTCACCGCAATGTGACGCTCGAGGAGGACAGATTATAACGGCACTAGCGCGTCGCCTGCTCCCCTTAGGCTTACCTGAAGTCGAGTGTGGAAGGCGGGAACTGTATGGACTCGTCAAGGAGCATATCGGCCACGCGAGCGCCAGTGTTGTGAGGCGCGCAGACAGACATGGGCTTGGCAACACAGCATGGACGACAATAACCATAGCTGCAGAAACAAGGAGATACGGGGAAGAGGACAATAATTCTAATGAAAGGAAACCAGGACTTTTATCAGTGTACGTTCGTGGCCACCCAGTAAAGAGAAGCACAACAACCATGAACAACCACATGCTGTTCTCATTCGGCTGTGCTGTTGAAAGCCATCAGGCAGATATGCTAGTGATGCACGGCAGCTGCATCCGCCAATGACTACACAACAATGTCAACAGTGGGGAAGAAGACACGTTTTTGAACAGATGTAGCTGAAGCATAGGAAAGGCAATGCTACAGTGCTATATCCAAAGGCTGTAGACAGGTTATGTGCAACATGAACACGGAACTCAGTTCCTAGCACCTAAATACCGGTACGCAGTTTTCCTTCCAAAATTGCAACAGATGTGGCATCCTTGAGCCATGGGAATGTCACGTCACTTTGGCACAGAGATAGTGTCCTTGTTCCCCTTGCACATATTGGCCTGTTTCCTGGGTTATATGTGCAATTACTACTACAATGTAGTGTCGTCATCAACAGAGCATACTTATTACTAGCAAAGACACACCTAATCTCGAAATGCAGGCTACAATTGACGCAGGGAAAACAATTCTTTTCGGACTGCGGCTTGGGGTGATGCTGATCCAGACAATCGTAAGCATGGGGTCTACGCCACTCTATGGACGAGTTTGCAGAGTTCAAAGGGAAAATATGCAATACCACGGCTTATAAAATCTGCGTTTTTAGAAGGAGACCACCACTTGTCTCTTCTGCCTGATTCATACTTCATTTCGCGTACAGGAAACACGTCGCATCGCGAAAATGGACTTGGGCTCAACTTGTTTGGCTCACCGCGCGACCGTCACGCAATGCGTTTCCCGTACGCGAAAGGAACTAACGGTATGAATCAGGCTTTTAAAAGACTGATTCTCAAGTGTACATTGTACCATGTACAGGATTGGTGGCTGAGCACAGATATAATTCAGGGTTCTAGCCAGGAAAGATGTAAGGGGGGGGGGGGGGACAAACAGTTCACCCATTTTGCCCATGTTCACACAAAATGCAACGCCCGTACAGGTGCAGCGAGCACCCGGAACGATCGAGTTGTGGCCACATTTCCGTTGTCTGAACTGAGAAACACAAAATAGAAAAATGAGCAGGGTGGTGCGTCATCAGAGTGGGGGAGGGGGGGGGGGGGGGGTGGCTGGAACCCCGATATTCACTTGGGCACAACCTCGGAATGCCCTCCTCTCCCTTACCTGCAGCCTGTCTTAGCTGGTACAAGACCACATCTGTACACACAGCACCGTCACATGGAGAGAGCAGACAGCAAAAGAAAGGAAAACGCCATGAGCCATTGCTACCTAATACACAGGCATACGACACGAGCGGAACAACAGATCCATCTCCTTTGCGAACTCGATTTCAAGAATCGCAATAAACCAGGAAGTACACAGAGGCAATGTAAATGACATTGTCGTACATGTTTTGCATGGAGTAGTAAACTAGAGCTTGTGACGGCACACCATACAGAGGGGCGGAAATGATGATGCAATCGTACAATCTCTACCCTATGTGGCCACCTGAGCTGCATATACCACATGGTCCAGCCTCTGCATCTAGCTTCTCAACATTTCAGCCGGTAAGCGTGTCTGATGTTGCACACTGCTTGCAAACTGTGAGTCCTCACAAAGCATCTGGGAGTGACAACATTCCTGGAATTGTACTGCAGCAGTGTTCAGACGTCCTGGCACCTCCATTTACCACCCTAGTCAATGCATCCTTGACATCAGGTACTGTGCCAGTGCGTTTTAAAACATCACACATTAGTCCACTGTTCAAGAGTGGCGATGCAACATCCCCTACTAACTATAGACCATTGTCATCGCTCCCTATTCTGTCCCGGATTTTGGAGTTCTTTGTGAAGAAGCAACTCACAGCATACCTCACGCAACATAGCATATTACCTAGCAGTCAGTTTGCCTACAGGAAAATGCACTCTACCGAAGATGCATTAGTTCTAGCCGCCAACCGTTGGCTGTTGGCCAAACAAGAGCGTAAATACACGGATATTGTGATGGTTGACATGTCAAAAGCGTTTGACCGTGTCCAACATCAACGTCTGATTGATAAATTATTCACCCTGGGAGTCAATGGCAGAGTATTGTTATGGTTGGCTAGCTATCTGTCTGGTCGTTTTCAGCGTGTCAAGGTGTGTGAGGCTCTCTCTGATGCAGTCCCATGCTCAAGAGGTGTGCCCCAAGGCAGTGTTCTTGGGCCGCTTCTCTTTGTCCTTTACACGAGTGACATTTCCGACGTCATACCTTGCATTGTTGTTCATCAGGAGTTCGCGGACGACATCATCCTAGATTATTCTGATTCAGATCTGGACATTGTTTGCAAGACTTTGACTACGGCTGCGACACGTCTGTCTGACTGGCTCTCCGAAATTGGGCTTCTGCTGAATACCGGCAAAACCCAAGTCATGGTAATTCAACCTCGGGGACTCACTGGCAACATACCAGCCGTGAAATGTAAGGATCAAGCCTTAGCTGTTACCTCCACTGCCAAATACCTTGGCGTAACCATTGATGACCAGCTATCCTGGCAGCCACATGTCTCCAGTGTTGTGCAGAAGGCGTCAGTCGCCATCAGCCAGCTATGGCGCCATGGGCGATCTCTGCCCATAAGAGCCCGCAGACTTTGGTACAGTGGCATTGTGCAAGCACGACTAACGTACACATCCAATGCATTCTTCCCGTCGCTGACACAGCAGCTGCAGAGTCGTTTAATCAAATCCAGCAAATCCGGAATTCGTGCAATTTTCCGACTCTCCAGCCTTGCATCCACAGCCCCCCTCCTCGTGAGCTTATCTATTCGATCCCCAACTCACATTTTTCACTACAAGGTTTTGTTTTTTGTTTTCCGTTGCCTACATGATCTTGCAAGTCCTCTTTCCTGCACCTACTTTCAGTTGACGGCTAATACAGGCCAAGCATCCCGGGATGATCGCCGAATTACTCGAGGACAGGAACAGCGGCTACTGCAAGTGCCTTTCCTTCCTGGACCTTCCGGTCGTCAGTCATTGACATTTGTGGGAAGCACTCTTTGGAATGCCCTTCCCAGTGATATTCGCCTCCACAGTGCGGCTTTTGCCTTTAAACTGGCTCTGAACAGAATTAATTGTAATTTGTAACCAGCGTTGATCGCGCTCCTTCCTTGCTCGGTATCCCTACACATTACTGCATGTTTTCTCTGTGTGTTCTTCACTGCATGCTTACACATACACACCCATTTGAATTATATACATACTTTGTGCTTTGGAATTATCAAGTGACCAGCGCTCTGCGAAAACCGACCTTAAGTGCTATTTTGGCGAAATTGAGTTTGTGCTGGATTGTTGACCCATGATCCTTTCTTCAACTTCTGGTGAAGTTTGAGGTGGATTGCATACATATTCAGTTAGATACAATGACAATTTCTTTGCACTTTTCCTACAATATTTTGAGGAAAAGTAGCAAAAATCCTGGATTTTATGCTACATTTTGGAGCCAATGTTGTGAGAATTCAAACAGCATGATTGCAACCAAACTTTGCAGAATAAATCTGTATGTCATAATCTTCAAAAGGAAAGGTTTATGATGGCATTGGATCTTCCTGTTGTGGAGATAGACACATTCTTTCTCTCTTCTGTGGATGGTGTTGCTCACGAATCTGCTGGAAGAGGTATTCGGCTCTGTATGAGGATATGCCAGCCAGAGTGATGGGTAGAGGCAGGTGCAAAGTAGTGAAGAAGCTCGGATCAATGCCGGGTTAAGGGATATTGATAGTTTTATCTGGTACTGGTAGTAGAACGTCTAGTTATGTCTACATCTGCCGCACACATTGTTTCATAATCGGTGATATCATGGCAGTCTCTTTTCCAAATCTTGCCAAACGTACTGTATGCAGCTTTGCCACCAGGCTTTGTGAACGCCTGGTGAACAAGCTTCTTCGTAGTGATACTGGGCAAATACATGTAGGTTGGTACTGGCTTGTTGTGCCCATGTGGATCTGCAGGTTAAGGGAGGCCATGAGCTATAGCATAATGCTCTATAAAATGTTTCAGCTCCACAACATCTTCCACATGCAGTGCATTCCAGAGTTCATTCAATTCTTGTGTTGGGCTGATTTCACTTGCACTGACAGCAGCCTACACAGATTTTAGCACCCAGGGCTTGATCCTGGGCTGGAGGCATACACAAAGACTTCCTGACATGCATGTACATGACTTCCACACCAGCCACTGACTACATGTAGTCTTCAGTAGTTCAGAGTGGTATTGTTGAGCCCCATCTTATCACATCTCCCAGCATGCTGGACGCGCTGGGTAGCCTCACCACGTCTCCTGAGCACGTCTAGCTTTCCGCCCACACACAAGCAGCGCTCTGACTTGGTCAGGACGTGCGCTGTGTGCGCTGTAAATGTAAAGCAAGGTTTCAAGTGTCACGCTCTTGAAACAGCACCAGTGCGGAACAACTACAGCCCTTGTCAAACTTGTCGTGCGCCTCCTGGATTGTAGACAGTACTTGAACCGATTTTTCTTGGTCTGCACTCTGTTTATTGCCGGCATTGAGGGGCTGGGCTGGTGGCAAAACTGACGCCAGATCGAAATTCTCCTCCACATGGCCGTCCAGCTTGATCAGCGTTGCGTCCTGCGATTCCACATCCAACTCTCCTTGGCACTGCTGTCCTCAGAACTGCGATTGGACCAGGCCAAAAAATGACTATTCATCGTAAAGGAGTTCGGATGAAACCTCTGGGAAAAGCCCACAGCAATTATTTGAGCTAGCAACTGTCTTCTGCTTCGTTCCGCCATGACTCTCACCTTGTGATCTTCAAAAATCGACAGACCGTGACGTTTTGTTCTTTTTCTCGAAAAAATTACGAAGCACCTAAGGTCGGTTTTCGCAGAGCGCGGGTCATGTTATGATTCTTTTTAATATTTCCTTCTCTCATAATATTATATTCGTTCTTAGCAGGAACCGGAGGTTTTTCCTCTGGTGAGAAGGCAGTATTGCCTGTGCTCTAAACGAAGTCAAAAAAAAGAAAGAAAGAAAGAAACATAACTACGGCGGCACACTGTGGTACTACGCTGCTGTACATTGCATCACATTCACAGCATACACTGGAGTGGTGCACAGCATACACTGGAGTGGTACTATAAGGGGTTAAAGCTTCAAAGTGCCACATCAAAGCCAGCCCGAAGCCATGCCAACGCTAGCTATTGGATCTACATGCACTGTACTTGGATCCATACACGTTTGGGTGGTTCTTCCTCAGAGCAGGGTAACACAGCTGCCGGGAGTAACTGGACTGGGCCCTCCCGGTTGGAGACCCACTCCTGGTAGAGAGAAAAATCACACCAACGTGCGGCACGAGGGGCCTACCTATCACCAAAAGTATATAACCCCCCAAGAGTAGAGTGTCCAACTCCTGATAACCTTTCTATGGGGTACGCCGACGGCGAAAACTCACTTCACGTGGTGCAGTGTCGCAGTTGTACGTTTCCATCCTGTTTTTAGCGAGCAGCGGAGTAATAAAAAAGCACTCAATGACAGTAACTCACTGCGGGTATGCAAATCCCCAGCATGATCATGGCAGATATTCGGATCGCGCGCACGCTATCCTTTGTTGGTACGTAGTACGAACGTATCTGAGACACGTGATGTGAGTTTTCGCCGTCGGAGACCCCATATGCAGAGTTGCACACTCTTGGGGGGTTGTATACTCTTGCTATCACGTACAGTACGTTGTTATGCGCAGAGTGGATCCAGAAGTCGTTATTGGTCGTTATTTGTTGACTTCTGTTGTCATCACTTTCAACCCCTTTGATGCACCAAGAATCCGATAGCAAGGCACCGCAAAGCCAGTACAAGGCACAGTAGCCGTCAGAGTTACACTGATGAGCCACTGCTGCCAACACTTACTTACCCCTTGCAAAGATGGTGCAGCTCCGAGTAGTGTGGGTCCACGGAAGACGCAGGCACTGCCGATGACACGCTCACGTCCAGGAGATTTCCGTTCGGCAGAGTCTTGAATGTGACTCTTTTGCGCACAGGGCTAACATGGCTGCTGGGTATCTAGAAGGAGTACAAACACACCGGCAAACATCAATCAGGGAAGAAGCACACATACACACTACATGTATGATAGAGAGGGAGAGAGAGAGAGAGAGAGAGAGAGAGAGAGAGAGAGAGAGAGAGAGAGAGAGAGAGAGAGAGAGAGAGAGAGAGAGAGAGAGATAGATAGATAGACAGGTAGACAGGTAGACAGAGAGAGAGAGGAGAGAGAGAGAGAGAGAGAGAGACAGAGAGAGAGAGACAGAGCGAGAGAGAGCGAGAGAGCGCGAGATAGATAGATAGATAGATACTATTAGATAGATAGAGCAGACAGACAGATAGACAGACAGAGAGAGAGAAAGAGAGACAGACAAACAGAGAGACAGAGCGAGAGAGGGCGAGAGAGCGCGAGAGATAGATAGACAGAGAGATACTATTAGATAGAGCAGACAGACGGGTAGACAGACAGAGAGAGAGAGAAAGAGAGAGAGACAGACAGACAGAGAGACAGACAGAGACAGACAGACAGAGAGCGAGAGAGAGAGAGAGGCGCAAGAGGAGGCGAGAGAGAGAGAGAGATAGATAGATAAATAGAGAGATAGAGAGACAGGCAGACAGACAGAGAAAAAGACAGACAGACAGACAGACAGACAGACAGACAGACAGACAGAGAGAGAGAGAGAGAGAGAGAACAGCAGCAGCAGCAGCAACAGGTCACCGCCCTGGTGCATATCAAAGAAACTCTCATCGGGATAGCTATCAGAAATGTTGTCTCTCTCTCTCTCTCTCTCTCTCTCTCTCTCTCTCTCTCTCTCTCTCTCTCTCTCTCTCAGGCAGTGCCTGCATGGTTGGTGTTTTAGACCAGGCTTTACTGGAACTATGCACGGAACGCACCACCAGACGGCGAAGCGGAGAGGTGTAAGCAGTGAGGCTGTCTTGAGTCTGATGTCGGTCATTCTAATTCCACATGGCAGGTTAATAAGTGGCTGCTGACCAGACCAGAAAGAAGACGACTGTTCTTGTGCAATGCACACATTATAAACTCGGATACTAAAATGAGATTGTGGTGCTGTTCCGTGTGTTTGCATGATTAGACACCCTTAGCAAACAACGGTAACGCTATTTTTACGGTACTCGTACCTTGATCACCCAAATACCGTTGAAGCTGCAGCGTATAAACGTCATGGGGGCTGAGTTATCGTTGTGACCAACGGTACGTGTTTGGGCCAAATATTGCATAGTCCGTACGCATTTCACCTTGTATCGCGTATATGGTGACAAAAATGGTAGTGCCGCGCGAAATCAAAGCTATTCTCGTGGCAACAGCGTACTAAAAATAGCGTGTATCTTGCTAAAGGTCGAACCCAAATCACGGTATTTTCCCCCTTACGATAATACCGTTACAACATAACGTTTTTTGCTAAGGGTGTCTATTGTCAATAGCATTACAGTAAAACTCCACTTATCCGGACACTTTGGGACCGGACACTGCTCGTAGCTAGGAATAGCCAGCAACTCAGAACATGCAGTCATACTGATTGCATGCAAGTGAACAATTAGCATGCCAATCAATAGTTTAGTGTGCTGTTTTTTTGTTTTTAAAAGCCCCGCTTTGTGACTCAAGAGGGGTTAGGGAGGTGCCTGGTCGACGGGAGTCACCAGTGCCCGGATCTGGGGAATCTGGACTAGAGGAGTTTTAGTGTATTAGAATGTTAAGGGAGAGACATGGACGCAATAGTATTAAACACGTGAAGAGATTTACCGGATTCTGCTCTCTTCGCCGCTTCTTCGATTTCCGGTGCGGCTGCTGGTGCTGCGACGGGTGCCGCAGCCTGTGCTCTCGGTATCGCCATAGCAGCAAGCCGACAAAATAGAGTGCGAGTATGAACGGCAGGGATCGCAGAGAGTAGGTTAAAGCTTCTACGTTCACTGCACTGTGCGCCTCCATGACGCTGCTCAGATGACTAACGCATTTCAGTGCATATGCCAGGCTGCCAGCTGTGCTGCATGTACGCCACTTCAGTAGAGCTGGGTAGAGAGTTCTTGCACTGGGTTCTATATTCGACTGTTCCCAGGCATTACACACCAGTCGCCTGTGTTCACTGCGATCTTGGACTGCCAAAGCGCTCCGTACGGACCAGAGAGGTATCCTACTTGTCTATTCCAAGCTAACCATCTCTCTGTCTGCTACTGTAGGGTGATACGAGTCATGAAACTTCTTGACACTTGGTGCGGAAAAAGTATTTGGCCGACAAGCAATATGGAAAAGTTGGAGAAACAAATAAAGGAAGCAGATTTCAAGTTGAAGTACAGCATGCAGGCTAGGCTTACTACAGAGGTACTACTGTACTAGTATACGGTGTGACTAAGAATAGTTCGAGGTAATTCCCAAACTGTGTACATGTATTCAACACAAAAACCTGATTTGAAATGCGAATATCTGATTGATTTCACGAGTGGATGCATGACGATTGCACGTGCAAAAAGCGTTTCGTGTCTAGTCTGCAAAACGACGTCACAGTCTCACAGACTCATATCACAGCTAGCCATATAATAATACAGTCACATGTGCACAGTACAGGTTCTTGCGACGTTACGTCATGGCCTGTTTGAAAAGATCCGCGAAAATATTTCAATTCCAAAAATACAATCAAGCACTGGTCGTTTGGATTTCCACACAGTTGTGTTTCCTTGTCGGATAATTATCAGTACTTGCTGGTGGCAAGCTAGGGGCTGTCCGTTAGTTGCCCTCATTCATTGATGGTTCTTTTCTTTAGGTAAAATATTGTATGACTGTCACCAGGTCGTTGGATACACTAGTAGTAGTACTTCTCACAAACTTACAACAAACACCTGTCATACTAGTCTAGGGACTGCCGGAGTTGCTGTAGTCCAGAAATCCTTCTTCGGCTGGTACTTTCTGAATGACTTGATTTCTTGTACCGCACGATGTCGGATGCCGAGCAGGTGTGGGCTGTCCGTGGACAGGATCTCAAGCTTGGGTATGGTCATGGAGCGAGCCACGTGGCAGTCCTGAAGCGCTTGTCCCTCTCCGTGCCAGCTGGCAGCATGTGAGTGCTAGGTGTACACGAGTAGACCTTCTCACTTTGAAAGTCTTTGAATTGCTTGCACTTGTACTTAACTAAGCACACAAAGCGTCTGAGGACCTTGCTGCAAAATACTGCTCAATACCCTAACAAGGGCAGAGCGTACTACACAAGGCAAAACAACAGACCAATATCATTCTCGGGACTCCGAGTTGCCCAGTGTTGTTCTGCCTTGTGTAATGATTATATATCCATAAACGTTTACGTTTACTCAAGATCATCACAGTGATGCCAGTACCAGGAGCTCCGATGACCATACAATACACACTATCACCGTGACCCTCATGCGTGTGTGTTCCTTTGTGTATACATGGATGTGTGTGTCCATGTGTGTGCATACAGCTATGCATTGCTGGGGCCAAGCGGCTGCGGCAAGACGACACTGCTGCGCTGCATACTGGGCAGGCTGAAAGCCGAGGGTAGCCTGGCCGTTCTGGGCAGGACGCCACGTTCGCCAGGGCACCAGGTACCCGGTGT